GTCCGACCCACGTCCCTGATATCGACTAGCTCCCGGCCGGATGCACATACGCGGAGCCAATCAGTCCGAATGTGACCTGCAGCTTACAATTGCTGTGTCGCATGGCGCATGGCACAGGACGATTCCTAGCAGCTGTCGGCTGGAGTGGAGAAACAGCACGTTGCGACACACCGCGCCGGCGACAGAGCTCAGCAGGGCTGGTTGGAGGCTGGAGCCGGAGGTAAGGGCGGACACAGGCACAGACATTGCAGGACAAATAACAGGATGTCAGTTAGGGATATAATTCAAGACGAATGATTCAAGACGGACTGAAATAATACACATTTTGCTCTATTGGATACCAACTTCAAACTTGACGTTTATGTATAGCACCATGGAAACAATGGGCACACAGGAAAGAAACAAAAGATGAGGGTTTTTTAACTCAAGGAAGTAAAACAGCCCGAAGTGCAGACAAGCACATACTTTTGGTAATAGCTTTCAGCTGTCCTACTCCTCTTCTCCCTTCATCAACTACTGGACACATTTGAAGCATCATATATAGCACCAATGTCTTATGTCCATAACCAAAGCTTGCAAGTAGTTTTAACTTCTATGAAGCCAAGGGAAATGTGCCTACATTATGCATGTAAACTCAAAATTACACATGCATGACAAAGGAAGCTTATGTAAAGAGAATATGTGACAAAAGCATCTCATGGTTAAAATTATTCAAAACTGCACACAGGGCAAACATAAAAAGCAGCAAGAGCTGTTCTGTTATGCTAAGTAATAGTCTAAAACAAAATACAATCTTTTCATGTTTGAACTGGTTGTTCTTCTATGCCCCTTCATCCATATCTTGATTACAGATGGGCTGTTACTGTAGGCTGATGAAGTGACACTTGATTGCCTTTGTGCGAGTTTCAGTTGCAGCCTCCTTGGTACTGCACTGGAAAGCAGATTGAATTGAATGCCTCTGAAAGATAGGAATACAGGCAAAGTTAGCTGTAGTAGTGTCAATGATAATAGACATGACATTTTTGTCCTTTGACATAGGTACATTTGTTGAACTTGAAGTACAAAAAGGTACAAAATAAATTGGTTTGTTTCAAGACACGCACACTGCACAAAGCCGCACAGACATTACACAGGCATATGAAATTGGTACACATAAAAATTGATGATTAAAAAGGTCAAAACTTGCAATAATAATTGAAGTAAAAGTTACAATCACAATCATTTGATTTAAAATGGCTTGACATAACTAACAAGACGCAACGCTCCTATTCTATTATGCTTTCATTATCCTCCACATATCAACCAGCTTGATACCAGGCTGTGCAATAGTGCGTACATAACTCCATGTTGCCATTTTATTAGAGCAAGGGGGGTTACAACAACAATGCTAATGTCAAACCCACATCTGCAACCCGTACTGCAGTTTCAATCACCTTACAAGCACACCTTCTGGCAGTTTGATAGGCAGAATGGTCATTACTACATTCCCCTCATATTCAACACATATTCCCTTTATACAGATACAGTTTAGACCTGGTTATGGCAAGCACTTTCGAGAAAAGATACGATTAAAGTCCAAGACAAAGGTCGAGAGAAACAACACCAACATAAAACACCGACTATGTAGCACTAATACTGTCAAATTCATTAAAATATATACATGAGTCGATCAGAAATTTACTGTAGATTTCGAAAATGGTGTCAAATGCCACTCAAATACCCCCATTCGCATGTACGAAGCAATAAAACACTGACCTTCAATTCCGCGTGCCATTCTCCATAGGCCACTGTGTATTAAATAACGCGTTCACTGATAGCAAAAAAAGAGACCCACATATGACGCGTTTGCTACCAGCCAATCAGCGCTCGAGTTACCGGGCGCTGATTGGTGGAGAGGGCCGTCGTTAGCAGCTAATTACACGTTGTTTTCCCTGAACATGTGCGTGAGCGCTGATGCTGCTCACGGGCTGTTGCCATTTTTCGTAATGCTGAAGGCACGGGAGCGATCCCCCCTGGTACCTTCAGAAACCCTGTGGGTTCGTCTTTAGAGACCGGCACGGACTCAGACGCCGATGGGGCCCTCAGAGTCGCCGGTGTGGGGCCTTTAAATGTCACCGGTGGGTGGCCGTCATGTACGCCTTAAGAGACACTAGTATGGGGCCTCTGCAGATATGGCAATATGGGGCCCTTGGAGGCGCCAGTGTAGGGGTTTCACAGTCGCCGGTGATGGCCCTGACAGGCGCCGTTGTGGGGGCTCTCAGAGACACTGGTTTAGGGCCATCACAGGCGCGCGTGGGGCCCTCAGAACTGCTGTTACGGGACGGACCCTTCATAGGCCGACAAGAAGATATTAAGAGGTCACCGGTGTCTTCAGGAGCCTTGTGGGGTTCTCAGAGACCGGCATGGTGCTCTCAGACGCCGCTAGGACCCTCCGAGTCACCTGTGTGGGGCCGTCAGGGTCGCTGGTAACTGACGAAGGCCCTCAGAACCGCCCATGTAGGGCTTTTATTTTAAAGGCGTTGGTGTAGGGCCTCAGAGTTAGGGGTGTGGGGCCCTCAGAGATGCAGGTATGGCGCTCAGGTGCGCCGGTGAGGGCCCTCACAGTCGCCGTTATAGGGGCCCTCAGATAAATGGGTGTGGGGCCATTACAGGCAGGTGTAGAGCTCCTAGAGCTGGCTCCCTATAACCCAGCCAGCAATTTGGTTCGGCGCAAGTCCGTTTTGTCTCGGCAACTCCGACATGCCAGACTTGGGCCAGTGTAAACGGAACGCTGTCAGAGCCGGGGTTTGGGTCGATATGGCTCTATTCCGGTTAGCCAGTCTTTGCCGTGGCGCTCCCGGGTTGGTATGGTTTCGGACCGACAAGTCTGGCTCAAATCCGGCTCCCTGCCACGGCTCAAGTCCGGCTCCCTACGACCAAGTCCGGCTGCCTCATAGCTGCTCTGGCTTACTGTGGCTGAAATACGGTGGAGGTATAGAGGTATACGGCACGGCTGATGCGGCATAAGTCCGGCTGTGGTGCGGGAGAGCTCCGGGATCGTGTGTCAGCTCCAGTATGTAGAGCCCCAGACCTTGCCCGTACTTTAGCCGGAGCAAATGCCGGAGCTAGCCAGAGTAAAACCAGCTACGGCCCATACCAAATTTGCTGGCTGGGAATAGGCCGGTTAGGACCCCCAGAGGCCGGCAAGTGGCCCTCAGAGGCCGGTAAGGGGCCCTCAGAGGCCACCAAGGGGCCCTCAGAGGCTGGCTAGGGGCCCTTGTGGAGATCTTAGTGTTGGTACTTGTGGGCCCATGAGGTGTTCTTACGAGCCCTGTGGGCCCTTCTGTGTCCAAATATGGCCAACGTGGACCCTCAGCGGCCAATTGGCGCCGCATGGCCCCTCAGGCCCGAATAACCCGAAGAGCCCATGAACCTGATGGGGGGGGGGGGGGGCATGTGCCTCACGGGCCCACCTGGCTACGCCACTGAGGAAAATCGTAAACCCGTAAATATCGAAATGCGTCATGCGATCACTTGTCATTTTTTTCAGCGATGTATTGTAATCGTCTGATTACCGCCAGAGCCTCGTAGCTACCGTTGCCTCCGCGCAATGTCCGCCCCTGCGGACCGCAAGGGCTGCTGCACCGGTGCTAATCGCCGTCATCGGTTTCTGTCACTTTAGTACAGAGGTGCCGGGGCTGCTGCCGAGCTGCCGGCAAATATACGACTTTTTTCGGAAAGATGTTTCTGTAATGAAGTAGCCAAGTACTAGGACGAACAGAATAATTTTCAAGAAGAACGTGCTACCCTTGGGAAATATTAGTGGAAATCCCGGGATTATCAGTACCTTATGGGGATACCCAACCCTGCCTTGTACGCTTGTGCCCCATGGCAAAGCTGCAATCTTTCACCCGGTGCAGCCGCGCAGGGGTTGAGCACCCCCAACCATTTTGAAAAATCGACACCCCTGCTTGTGTGCCGTTATAAGACGCAAAAATTAGGTACTACCCGATTTTAAGGTCTTAGGTCAGCCAGTGACCTCTTAGGTCAGGTAAGTGCCACAAGGCACGGGCTCGGTTTTAGGTTAATTACTTTTCCAAAAATGGTCGCACTGCCGCGATTTTGGCATCATCGTGTCTGTCTAGCTCAGGCGCGTTGAATGCTATACTTGGTGTTCGGGTGAAGTCAACTTAAGGTGTTAACCTCGGGTCAAGGTCAGGTCGGAGCCCCTCAGGTCACGAAAATGGTTGAAGGAGGTCATATCGCATATCATTCGATTCGGCAGGTCTTCCTGCGTCCAATGGTGGCTTTCCCGACTCTCTAGCTCCATCTGATCAGGAGTTATTGACGAAAAACTTATATGGCCTTAGTGACGTCATAAATGACGTCACGCAAAGTCAACAATGCTAAAGTCAAGCACTGGACCTTGCAAGGAGTGCATGAAACCATTCCCGGTGCCCGAATAGCAGCTCCCAATTTCCCTTGTTGACTTAAAGTGGTGCTAGATCCTGTATTATACTCAATTATGACGTCATAACTTAATAGATTCACGTCATATATTTTGTGCTTGACATCCAAATGATAGCTTACATATGACAGAGAAGGTATGCAAAGTTTTATGAAGTTTGCTTCACTAGTTGTGGAATAACAAGCAAAAAACTTTTGCGGAAAGGCCGCTGGCCTCTCGCTGGAGCGTTTCCGACCAGTGTGCCCCGTAATGACCGGCTCTGCCCGGCCGGCCCGACCCTTGTGAGACCCGGGAATGGACATTGGACTCGACTGGCTGCAGGGAGCGGCAGAACTCGTAATTCGTATCCCAGTCGGTATCACGGCGGCACGAGTCATGTCGACTGTCTTCTTGTCCTGTCCGCGTGTCAGATTGTCGTCACGGCCTCTCATGTTTGTTGGAGACTCTGTATGTGTCTCTGTGCCATCAGTTGGCAGTTACGGTAACCCGCCGATGTTCGTGGTCCTGTTTGTTGACGTGTTAGCTGACAGTCTCCCCTCTTTGTTTTCCCCAGATGTCGTGACGGGGCCGACGCGATGCCCCGCGGCCGGAGTAGTTTGCTGCTGCTGCCGCTAGCGGCGCTGATGTCGGCGGCGGCCGCCTTCTGCCCTCCGCGGTGTCGGTGTGACGACATCACGCTCACGGCCGACTGCACGGGCGCCCAGCTGGACAGCTTCCCGATCACGCTCAACCCGCGCCTGCGCCGCCTCATCCTGGTCGACAACGCCATCCGGCGACTCGACACCAGCATGGTCTCATCGTACACGCACCTCGAGTTCCTCGACATGCGCCGCAATGGCATGCTCAGCGTACAGGCCAACAGCTTTGAGCGCCAGCAGCGGCTGCTCGAGCTGCGCCTGGGTCAGAACCAGCTGGGACAGCTCGAGGAGGGCGTGTTCAACGGGCTGCGCCGTCTGCGCGTGCTCGACCTCAGCGCCAACCAGCTGCGGGAGGTGCCCGACGACGCGCTGCGGCCGCTACAGATGCTGACGGACCTGGACCTCTCAGAGAACCGGCTGGCGGCGCTGTCCCGGGACGCGCTGTCGGGCGCCGTCAGCCTGCGCCGGCTGAGTCTGGCCAGTAACCTGCTGACGGCTGTGCCGACGGAGGCGCTGCAGCAGCTCTCTCAGCTGGACGACCTCAGTCTGGCCGGGAACAGCATTGAGCGCCTGTCGGCCGGGGAGCTGGGCCGCGCCGCGCCGGCGCTCACACAGCTCAGTTTGGCCGGGAACCGGATCGCGCCGCTGCCGGATGGCGTGTTCGACGGTCTGGCCGGCCTGCGGCAGCTGAACGTGGCCGACATCGGGCTCGACTCGGCCGACGAGGAGACGTTCACCGGCCTGGACCGGCTGGAGGAGCTGCACCTCAGCGGGAACCCGCTCTCCCGGTTGGGCCCGGCGCCGCTGGAGCGGCTCCACCGGCTGACATTGCTCTCAGTGCGCGCCTGCCCCGGCCTCAACACCATCGAGCCGGACACGTTCAAACACAACCCGGCGCTGGCCACCCTGCGGCTCGAGGAGAACCCCAACCTGACCGAGCTGCCCGACAAGCTGCTGCTCTTCCTGCCGCTGCTGCGCTCGCTTAGCCTGCACGCCAACTCGCTGAGCTCTCTGACGGAGAGCACGGCCGACTGGCGGAACCTGGCGGCGGACCTGGGCGGTAACCCGTGGCGCTGCGACTGCGCGCTCCGCTGGCTGGCCGAGCTGCCGCCGGAGGTGAACATCAGTGGCGCCATCTGCGCGGCGCCGGACCGGCTGCGGGGCACCTCGGTGCGCGGCCTGTCCGCGGAGGACCTGGACTGCGGCGCGGCCGACTCCAGCTCAATGGGCCTGGTGATTGGTCTCAGTGTGGGCGCCGCCGTGTTGCTGCTAGCACTGGCCGTCGGCGCGTGCTACCGCTACCGGCGCCGGCTGCACAAAATGTTCAAAGTGCTGCCGTGGCGCGAGCGGGTCGGTCTGAAGCGGAAACAGGAGCCGTACCACCGCGGTCAGACTTATTACTGCCACGATATGTACGACCCGATCCACCCGCGCGACAAGCCCATCCCAGTGACCGAACTGTGATGACCGGCCGCCGCCAGTGGCCGGTGCTAGCTACCAAAGACGGCGCTCTGTGGCGCCCGGCCGCGGCGCCGGAGACAGTGGACGCACACACACAGTGACGCTCGCTCTCCTAGTCTGGGGTGGGACGGGCCGCGCGCGGCCGGCCGCGAAGCATATCATTCTCTGTGCGCTGACGGTGGCGTGGCGCGCAGCTCTGCTGCCGTGAGCTCGTGGCGCCGTGAGCCTGTGAGTGAGTGAGTTGGTGAGCCGGTGCAGCTGCCAGTTAGGGGCGGGCTACGCTCCGCGCGGGGCGGCAGCGATCCTAGTCTTCCCGGGTTGGGCGGCGGCCCGCGGGCCCGAGCCGGGAGTGGGGGCCTCCCGAACATGGCAGACGCTGTGATGTGCACTCATTTTATGTATGCTGTCTGTTGTGCATTCGGATCGTGTTTTTGTTCCATTAGATTTGTATAGCCGGTAAAGTTATCGAGATTCAAGGACAAGGTTCCCAGAAGTTTTTCGTAGCATAGTTTTACTTTGTCGCTGCCCGCCAGACTGTAAATTAAAACTTAGACTGTCGGGGCGGCAAAAACTGGCCAGCATAGGCACAGACGAGCCTTTTTTATCGATGCGTGCCGCACTTATCGGTGCCTCTGTGAGCGTCGTCGATATCTGATCGGCGCTGACCCCGCGTCCTCTGCCCCGCCCCCTCCGCTCCTCTTCTCCCCACTTTGAGCTCTCCCTCGGCCGCCGCTGAGACCCTCTCTAGTCCCCGCTCGGACCGGCTCGGTCGGAGCGGCCCCCGGTTCGGTGCAGCTCCTCGGCAGCTGGTCCCTGGTCTCCTCTCGACTGAGGACCGCCTGTTACCGGGCCGCCGCTGCCCCAAAGTTGGCAGTTAATGTCAGCGGTACGGACGGCCCACTCCAGGCGGGAGTTCGGTGGAGGGCTCTCAAATCTGTCGAGTACGTCAGACCTGTCCGCTCGCCCGACAAGCTGATACCTTTGTGTGTTGTTTACCCCTGTGGCGAGGACGCAGCTTTGCGCCCAAGGTTGTCGGCGGTCGTTTTGTGCTGTTACCTCTCAGATGCTCACTGCCCGCCGCGTGCGTGCGTGTGTTATGCTCAGTTCCTGTGTGGCTTGGAAGGTCGACCGGCTGCGACCGGCCCGTTTGTTTTTGTTATTCATGCATTCCAGTTTGGTGATAGGCGGCGCGCATCCGGTGTCTGACCGGTCACCGCCTATTGGGCCGCCCCCGCCTCCCCCCCCCTGCCTAGTCCAGCTCCCCCGTCATCGGTCGGCCAGGCTACAGTCACTCCATCTATGCAATGTATTCATAGCGTCTTACTGTGCAGCCGCGGCTCGTGAAGCTCACTGAGTTTGTGAGCTGAGCTGAGCCGGACTGAGCACTGTTGCCGTCTCTGTCCACTGAGGGAGGGAGGGACGGGCTGTGACCGACACAAGCCCCGTCAGACATTGATTGCTCTCTTATTCGTACGTCAGTGCCGAGTCGCTCGCTTCATCCGTTTTCGTATGTGCCAAGCCTGTAAATGCTGTACTCGAATATTACAGTCGATCACACGATGCCAGTGGTTGTTTGGTTGTTTTGGTGATTGGTGAATACCAGGCGTGTTTGCTATCCAAGCAGCCAGGGAGCAACGCAAACTGATAAAAAACGTTTACTAATTTCCTAGTTATCCGGCCACTTTTCACTAACAAAATGCGAGTAGAATTGAAGCCTACTCGCATTTTGTTAGTGAAAAGTGAAGTGTACTCGCATTTTGTCAGTAAAAAGTGGCCACATAACTATAGGAAATTTTTAACTTTACAGTGTAGATTTGGGCGGCGAAGCTCATCACTCAAAGCATGCTACCGTGTTAGGAACTCGTCTTGACGATTTTCGTAGTCAGTAAAGGCCAAACGATCTTGTCCTTGTGACACACGTTCTCAGTTGGCCCGATAAACAAACATTGATGGGAGGCCACACGCTGAATATTGCATGGCGTCTGCTTTGATACTCAACTTGTGGTGCTGCCGTAGTCCGTTTGTGTGCACAGTGCTGGTGCTTCGTCAGAACAAACAGCTTCAAGCTGGCTGTTCAAATTGTACGGTACGGCACCGGGCAGGGCGATTTCACCAATTGACAATCGCAATCCGTGGCACAACTTCCCCGAAGTCCTTAGTCGGGTGTACATATTTGTAATGTGATTGCAATGTCGCTCTTCATATCTGGTCTCTGAGTAAATCTCGTTTTGCAAAAAGGAACTACACGAGTTCAACATATTGCCTACATCATGCGAACCAATCACGGTTTGAACTACCCCCGAAAAGTCATAGCACTGAGAGATTGGAGACAGCGAATTGCTTCACTGTGCCAACTGCCAATAATATGCAGTCGCATTTTCGCGTAATACCACCTTCACCTAATAGGTACCCGTCCGAGTCCCTCTGCACAGTGCACACGAGCACGACATTCGCGCTCAGGCAGCGGGAAGTACCGAGGGTGGGTGCCGGACATCACGGCGGAGCGTGCAGCGGCGCTATAGGTGCGGTGGACGGATGAAGTTACCGTCTCATTAGCGGGGACTGGCATGGGGCGTTGTGTTATCGTTGTGCTTCCGTAACCGTGCTATTAGTGGCAGAGTAATATCGCCTGCTAGAAGGACTTGCTACTAGGGACAGGACTAAGGACACGTAACGTTACTGGTTTGTCAGTGGCGCTGTACCGGTTTATTGGCGGTCCTGTCGGTTTTGGAACGTCAATGGTTCATTGGCGACACTTCCGCCCATTAATTCGGCCGCGACCAAAAATATAGGTATAAGCGGTGCTCCCGGACTTAGCATTTTAGGGTATATATTCACTATATAACATATAGTAATATATAATAACATATATATATAAAGCAACTGAAACGGAGGCCCGGATTCGCGACAGTCTCAGTCTTGGACAGCCAGCACGGCGGTGGAATTCACATGGCACGTCTGGACCCGACGCAACGTCGCGGAAAATCCCGGGATAAATCACATGCTGCATGCAAATAATGTCGCAAGTGTGAATGAATGAATGAACGAATGAATGAATAAAATGCCGCTGTGTTGCTGTGCCGTTCATACCCGTGGTTCTTTCCTCCCTCTTCTCCATCTCCACATCGCTTACTGACGTCTCAAAACAATGAAATACCGGGCCAATGCCTCAACTCTAAACGCCAGTCGTTCGGCCGCGAAAGCTGGGTATAGGTAATCGAATCAGGATTGTGTTTGAATGGAGGGCAAATACTAAACAGGCATTACTTAGGCATCTACCTACATGTGTGATGTGGTACGTTACTAGCCAATAAATAACGGGCACAAGAGTGAGAGTGCGCAGGGGCCGACCAGAACTCGGCCGAGTGAACTGGACTCATTACGGTGCATATCAGCTCGTCGAGGTGCTTTGCATGATGATGAGGCAGCCTCTGGCGACAATATTAGATACCCGCTGGTTCATGGAGTTCTCCTCAAATTGACTTGTCCCCAGTGTTCTGCCAAACTTGTTTGCAATATCTCTAGAGTAGGTTGGATACCCATGAACTAATTCTTGGGAAAGCATGCGATAGGGAACACCTCTTCATCACCCTTCTAGGGACGTAGGTAAAGGTAGATATAGTGGGCAGAGATAATGCATTCGTAATTCGTATACTATTCGATAAGTACGTATACGACAATAGGCCATCGGCTGCCCGCCCGTTCCGTATCCGGTCACGGCTCGCGGCGCGGTGCGGAGGGCCGTCAGAGCTGCCGGTTTTCGGCCGCCGGCGGTGCTCCGGAGTCTGTTCCGGATGGCTCCGGGCCGGCCCTCCTCCGGGTTAATTACTACCGCTGCAGCTGATGGCACAAACCGACCGCTGCGCTACGGTATCAAATATCCGGCCCGCCCGCCCGCCGACCAGCGGCGCCGCCCCCCTCGCTCCGGCTCTCCCCACAGCAGTCTCCCCAACCTCTCTCTCTCTCTCTCTCTCTCTCTCTCTCTCTCTCTCTCTCTCTCTCTCTCTCTCTCTCTCTCTCTCTCTCTCTCTCTCTCTCTCTCTCTCTCTCTCTCTCTCTCTCTCTCTCTCTCTTCCTCTCCCTTTGTTTTGCGCTCACCTCTTCTTCACATCTCGACGCGTCACGTCTTCCCCGCTTTGCTCCTCGCTCCTCTATGGTGATAAGTGCCCCTACCCCACTCACCCAGCCCCGTTAGACGACCCAGCAATCCAGACTGAGCAGCCCATCAGAGCGCCTTCTAACTCGACCCACCGCCCCAGGCCCACACCAGCTGCCTGTACAGCGGACTTCAGAAGGATGCTCCACTTTTCATAGGCAATCAGTCGCCTGGAGTGATAGGCTGTGCCGCACTACACGGGCGGAAGACAATGCTGTGACCCAACGCTCATCATAAATACACTACATTGCGTCATAAGCGGCACAACTCAGCGTTCCAGTCAACTGGTAGCTTCTGGGGAGTGGAACATAATCCTTTAGTCAACTGTACATAACTACTCTAGGTCCAGTCAACAGGCTGGCGGCTGCCCTGGCGTTTGATCCCCGTCCTTCAAAACGCGGGCCACAGTCGAAGGTACCAACCCGGGAAGGCGCGACATCATCGCGCCAAAAAATAGCTCTCCAAACTCTAGACCTTTTTGGTAGTCGTCCATTTTTGGTAGTCGTCCACTCGTAACTCATTGTCGAGCAAAAACCTTTGATAAAAAAGTAAATTCAGGACTTACAAAGTGGCGGTTACTCAAAACCCTCGCACGGCATAGCATTCCACTGCACATGCGAAAACGGTTGAAGAGGGACTCCGTACCAGCGAAAAAGCAGCAAACATGCCTTCCCGTCCCTACCTCGATGAAGAATGAACAGAGACGGCGAGCGCTCAGCCTGGCACAGCTAAAATCACAAACTCAGTGAACTTCACGAGCCGCGGCGGCACGCCACGCTATGACTCCATTACATAGACGGAGTGACTAGCGGGCCAGTTTTGGCCGCCAAAAAGAGTCTGAGCAATAGCCTTGACCTGAGCTTTAACTTGCAGTCTAGCGGGCAGCGACAAAGTAAAACTAGGCTTCGAAAAAAGGGGATCTGGGTAATGTCCATATCCATGATAAGTCTACCAGCTATTTCATGCCAAAGGGAACAAAAGCAAAAGCAAAATTCACAACAGGCAGCCTTAAACGAGTGCGCAACACACCATGTGCCATGGCTGGGAGAGATCCCACTCCTGGACGGGACCCGCGACCCACCGCCCCACCCGGAAAGACTGGGAGATCGATGCCACCCCGCGCGAGGCGTAGCCCACCCCTCACTGGCAGCCGCACCGGCTCACCAACTCACACACTAGCACCGGCCCCCGTGCTCCGCCGTCCTCACCGCGCGGCCGTTACAGGCCCAGCTCGGCAGCCAGGAAGACGCGGAAGACGCTGTCCACTTCGTTGTACTCATGGTGCAGTGCAGGCGCGATCCGCTTGTGGAAGCGCTCCTTCAGTGACTGCCAGCTCCTGACCGACCGGCCGGACCTGTTCAGTGCCACGGACATATCCTGCCACAGCGCGCGGCCCGAGATGTTGACCACGCGCCCCGGTTCCTCCCGGAGGAACCGCAACACGGCCAGGTCCTCGGCGCGAGTGTAAGGCCGCGCCGGCGAATGAGGCTCATTTGGCGGTCGGCCGCCGCCGGGGCGCCCGGTCGGCCGGCGCAGCGCGCGGCACAGCTGGCGCCGCTGGCTCTCCGTCAGCTGGGAGTTGTTGCGAAGCCGCGGCGCCGTGCGGCGCCAGTGCTCCTTAAGCGACTGCCAGGAGCGGCCCGGCAGCACGCCACTGTCCTCTATCTTCTGCCAGACGCGGCGACCGCCCAGCAGGCCGCCGGCCGCGTGCTCGGCCAGCACACGGCGCACCAGCACGTCCTCCTCGGCCCTCGAGTACGCCTGCCATTGGCGGCGCGACGATCGTGACGTATCTGCGCTGGCGTCGCCGTCAGTGGAGCTGCTCGGTTCGAGACTCATCTGCGCCGGCTGGGCAGTGTCCGGCGCGCTGGCGCCGCTGTCAGCGGAGCTACTTTTCGGCGCCGGCCTCACGCCAGACGGACCGGGCTGGCTGCTCCGCTCGCCGGCCAGCAGTGGCGTCTTCCTGGGCGGTGATTGGAAGTTGTCTGAGCTCGACACCGAGCTTCGTGACAAGCTAGCCGAGCGCAGCCGCCGCCCGCGGCGTCCCGCAGAAATCGCCGCCGCCACTCCCTCCGGACTCACGGAGGCTGCGGCGGCTGGGTGGGTGCCGCCCGCGCCAGCCGGCGCCATACTGACATCGCTTGAGCCCATATCCAGTCCGGCACTTCCGGCGGCCGTCGTATTAGTGGCAGCAGCGGAACAGGCCACGAAGACCTTGTCAGCTGCAGCAGTAGTTGTACCAGCGGTGGGAGGAGCCGTAGGAACGATGTCCCGAGCTACAGGATCGTCAGGAGTGGCCGAAATATCAGAAGCGGCCGGACTGTGACCAGGAGCGGCCGGACTGAGACCAGGAGCGTCAGGACTGAGACCAGGAGCGACAGGAGCGTCCTCAGATCTTGCGGAATTATCAGCGGGGGCAACGGCGGAGGCGGCGCCGCGGCTCACCTTGTTCCCAGAGTCCGTGGCGCAGATCAGGTCCCCTGCTTCGGTGCAAGAGTCGCCAGCGAAGAAGGGCAGCTGCCGGCGCCTGCGCCACAAAACCTGCTGACACCGATATTCCACCTCCTGTTTGCGCTTAGCAAGTGCGCGCTGCTCATCTTCTGTGAGCGGTAGCCGGGTGCCCGTGAAAAGGGACGCCATCTTCAACAGGTGCAGCGGCACCGTTGACTTGAAGTCGGCCAGTCGTGGCCCTACCTGCGGGACGCCCCGTGACGCTGAGGTCAGAACGGCCACCGCGGCCACGCCAGCTTAAACACTTCCACACAGATTGGATAACACGAAAAGTGGTTAGATTAGAGCGAAACTCTTACAGAAGCGGCGGCCGGCCTCATCAAAGCATAACATCGAGTCCCTATATGCCACCAGCTCCAACAACTTGCCCTTGTCCATCCCTCTCTTACAGTGCTCCGTCTGTCCCCCTCCCAGTGTCCCAGCCCAAAATTTTCCCACTGTCCGTTCGCCCCCCCCCCTTTGTTTGCTGAAATGGATGTGCACTGCAGTCACCTGTTCGAAAAAGCGGTCGAAGAGCGACGGCGGTGAGTGGCCGGACAGCACCGCCGGCAGCTGAGACGCCATCCAGAACCAGAATAGTTTACCCGTCACTGGTGGGAAAATATGCCGGATGCCGTACTCGGCCACGAAGCGCACCAGCGCCTCGTCCTTCTCACGGGTGAAGCCCAGCCGGCCGCCGCCGAGGCTAAGCAGCACAATGTGCAGCTGGCCGACGAAGTAAGAGTAGGGGACCGCCGTCTCCACGCCCAGGTCGGACCAGGCGCACCAGCCGAGCAGCACGTCGTTCACCCACTCCGGGCGGTTGTACCGAGAGGTGGACTGCAGCCTGAATGGACACAGGTCCACCACCCGGCCCTTGCGCACACACTCGTCCACGAACCTGCCGGAACAGACAGAGGCTCAGTACAAAGGAATCGGAGCACACGACACAGAGAGGCTCGCCAACCGGCCTGTCGAAGGTCGTGTCAGTCCCTCTCCATCCCTTCTTTCACTCACTGACTGTTTAAGGTCCCCTTCTTTCACTCACTGACTGCCGAATGTCCCTCCCGTCCCTCCTTTCACTCACTGACTGCTGAAGGTCCCTCCCGTCCCTTCTTTCACTCACTGGCTGCTGAATGTTCCTCCCGTCCCTCCTTTCACTCACTGACTGCTGAAGGTCCCTCCCGTCCCTTCTTTCACTCACTGGCTGCTAAATGTTCCTCCCGTCCCTCCTTTCACTCACTGGCTGCTGAAGGTCCCTCCCGTCCCTTTCTTTCACTCACTTGATGCTGAAGGTGTCCCGCCGAACAGATGTGGCCTTGCGGAGCTGCGATCCCGGCACGCCAGCGCCCAGTGTCACTACATGCCGACGGCGCGCCGGGTTGGTCACCAGCGCGCCGCCGTGGCCCACCACCAGCGCCTGCAGCCGGCACCGCTCCGGGCGCGGCAGGCCCGCCTCCAGGTAAAACTCCATCGGCTTGCCATCACCCGTCCGCACAAACAGCTGTGAAGGCGGCACCATTGTTTTATATTGTTTTATATTATGACTTCATCCGTCATTGGGTGTGTGCCCGTGGATGATTGATTGAATAAACTAAAACTTAACTAAACTAAACCATGGCCACAGCACAGGGCCCAAGGCGCTGAGGAACACAGGGGTCAGTACCGGGGCCACAGGACTGAGGGAGAGGGACACAGGAGGGGGGAGGGGTAGCATGGGCCGCAGGGCTGAAGGACACTGGGGATCAATACTACACCTTTTTGCATTTGAATTCAACCATTCGCCATAATTGTTTGAGGAGCCATTTCGACAATCGGCATTGAGCACAACTATTCCAGCGTTGTGTGTTTCATGTCAGCCGTTCAGTAAAACAGATTGAACACTGAAATGAGCGACCCGGCGACACTTCAGTCCCACGTGGAGCTCCTCGAGAGGGAGATGCGGGCGGCGGCCCGCACCATCACCGGCTGCCCGCTGTCCACCCCGGCCCACGCTGTGATGGCGGAGGCCGGGCTGATGCCGGTGGCTGCTCGCCGGGACGTCCTGGCAGCGAAACTACTCGCCAAGGCGCACGCGCTCCCCGAGGGCGACCCCCTCAGGGCTGCTGCGGAGGGCGGGCCGCCCAGCCGGCTGAAGACTGTGACGGGCTGGCGCGGGGTGGGGCACGACACCTGGCGGGCTGCTGGGATCGTGCTGCCGATCGAGCCCCTGTTGCCCGCCCGCGCGCTGCCGTGGGAGGTGGCCGCCTGCCCACACGTCACATTCTCCCTGGACATCGGAGCGCTGCGGCGGGACGCCCCACCTGACGAACTGCACCAGGCGGCGCAGAGGCACCTAGCGTCCCTCCCCCAGCAAGCCATCTGGGTTTGGACGGATGGGTCGGCGGATGCGGGAGTCCGCAGCGGAGGAGCAGGAGCCTTTGTGGAGTGGCCGGACGGTGCGACCGACGAGCTACGCGTCCCGGCCGGTCAACTCTGCTCGAGCTTCAGGGCGGAGATGGTCGCACTCCGCGCGGCCCTGAACCACCTGCGCGACCACCCGCACCAGCCGAGCGCGCCGATCACCATCTGCTCGGACTCGCAGTCGGCCCTCGCGACGCTGAGAGAGGGCCCGGCGTCCCAGAAGACCCTGCTAGGAGCCGCCATCTGGACCGAACTAGCGGCCCTGGCCGGTCCGTCCCGCCGGATCCACCTACAGTGGGTGCCGTCCCATTGCGGCGTCGACGGAAACGAGCGCGCCGACCAGATCGCCAAGGAGGCGGCCGCGCTCCCCCAGGCGGCGGTCCCGGTGGACGTCGCTACCGCCCACCGCGCGGCCGCCAGACTGGCCCGCGACCGCACCGTCGCCGCCTGGCCAGAGGGCTGGTACCGGACGCTGATGGAGAACCGGCTGCCGCCGCCGGCCGCGACGGGGGACAGATCGTCGGCCGTCGACGTCCACCAGATCCGCGCGGGCCACTGGTCAGGATACCGCCAATACCTCCACCGGATTGGACGGAACCCTTCCGACGATCGCCGCCAGTGCCCTGACACCGACTGTGCGGCGGGCCGGTGCACCGTGTGCCGGGAGGAGGCCGACACGCCCCGGCACTTCTTCTTCCGGTGCCCGGCCCTCATGGGCTGGCGTCTCCGGAGGTACGGGACGATTTTCCCGAACCCGGAAGACGTCCGCAACGACGGAGAGGTGGCGGCCCTGGCGGCCGCCGTGAGGGACCTCCAGAGCCGCACGGCTACACCGCGGTGACGCGGCTGGAGGGAACACACAACAACAACAACAATCTGCAAAACAGTTTGACACTTCGCCAGACTTCGGCATTGAGCGAGCCAGCCCGGCATATGACGAACGGCTTTTACCATTGACGATTTGTTTTGCACAACGTTGAACCATTCGCTCAAGTTGTAGAGTTGTAGAGTTGTAGAGTAGGACCGCCGAATAGCTTTGCACAATGGTGATTCTTTGTGACCAACCGCCCTTTTGTAGCGCCACCTATATGGCGAGTGTGTACAAATGTTTTGTCTACAGTCTAATGGTCAAAAGCTAACACAAAAAGGTGTAGAACCAGGACCACAAAGTTGTGGGGTACAGGGGGTCAGAACAGCACCGAGGGATGGGGTGGGTGGGGGTGGGGGCAGTGGTATTTGAGGAAATACAGGGTGGGTTATTTCTACCATTTGTACACTCCAAACACTGGGGATATTCACAAAATCAAAAGAAGAAAGGAAAGGAGGCATCCATCTACGCTGAAAAAGTTTGACCACACATATTTGACACGTACATTTACTTTTTATACAGAACATTCTTAAATTAAGCCCAACCAACCATACAGTTTGGTGAGGTTAAATTATGCCAGGTAAGCTTAAGTAAGGCTAGATTAGTTTTATATATTTCTACATGTTGGGTACCTGCTTTTTAGGAGTAGGGAAGGATGGGGTAATTTGGCCGCTTCTTTAGGAAGCGCTGTAGCTCGAAATTGGTGACATATTTCTGCACTCTCAACGCTGGCACGTGTAACATTCATTTTACTTTCTTATACAGTAAACTGAAAATGATAGAGCAACTAATTATGCCTGAATCTGGACGTTACAAAGCGGCCAAATTGCCCCGCTAGCAGGGTTATTTGGCCGGTGAGGTGGGGCAATTTGGCCGGTGTTTATATAAGGCCTTGATTTTATTTTACAGGCGAGTAAACATCAGCGTCAGCAAAGACCTGTGTCTTAGACGCATTTTTAGGCTGACTCGGTGTCGCACTTATATTCGAATGATTTAGACTCAGGACTTATTTCAGCATTTTCCTGTACAACTGAAAATGCGCTTCCTTTACATACAATGCTGAAGCAAACATTTGCATTCTATTTGTGATAAAAATATTTTCACAATGAAACTTATAATAAGTGAATAGTGAGAGGGCGTTGTTTGGGGAAACACGTTAACTTTTTATTCTAGTAAAGAAATAATCGACTAATTTCAATCAATTTTTTTTTAGCAATCAATGACATAACTCAACTCGGTCTCAAATCCTCACATCTCGTAACCTTCCGATGTCTACAAAAAAGTTGTCGATAGTGTTTGCTAACTGGAGATGTGACTATCAGTTTGGTTTGAGCAGATCCTTAGCATCTTCGTCGTGTTGCCTTGCGCAGTGTCTTGTCTTGATGAGCCCCCAGGAGGCAGACTGTGCCGCAATGCCAACGCCAATGTCTATAAACCCAACCAGCTCGGCACGACGACCTTATCAAGTCGGCCGCCCCAGCATAGCGATCCTGAGAGCACCGTCAAAGCTGCTCCACTAGCACAGGCCACATTACCCTGCATTGCCATTCTGAAGTTGTCTATAGGGGAGATTTTTGAGAAAAAAATTCCATGGATAGGTTCCACCAATGATACATCAATAGAGGCTAGAATTATTTCATTCACTTTTGTCCGATATTGTAAAGGTGGGGGCGGCCAAATTATACTGCCGGTCAAATTACCCCATCCTCCCCTAAATGAATAAACATTTCTAAGATGATGTATGGTTTCTAACAATTATTTATATAGCATGGTTTTCTATTCAATTATCAGCCTTGGGTGCGAGGGGGGATTTCACCCAGGGCTGTCAACGAAAAACTGACATATTTATAAACAAGTTTGGGTCGGAGACATTGACGTACTCTTAGTGCTATCATTTGAGAATTCAAGGCGAGACGGAGGAACATAATCGTCAAGAGTGGCCAAATCATCAGGAGACTGAGTCCAGGAGTGGCCGGACTGTGACCAGGAGCGGCCGGACTGAGACCAGGAGCGTCAGGACTGAGACCAGGAGCGACAGGAGCGTCCTCAGATCTTGCGGAATTATCAGCGGGGCAACGGGGCGGCAGTGCCGCGGCCCACCTTGTTCCCCGAGGCCTTGGCGCCGATCAGGTCCTCTGATTCGGTGTCCGAGTTGCCTGGCTGCCGAACCGGCTGATACCGGTTTGTCTCCTCCTCACAGTACTTTTCCAGTGCGCGTTGCTCATCTTCCGTGAGCGGCAGCTTGGCGCCTGTGGTCGAGGCCGCACTCTCCACCATGTGCAGCGGCACCGTCGACTTGAAGTCGGCCAGTCGTGGATCCACCTGCAGGACGTCCCGAGGTCAGGGGTCAGAGCGACCACCGCGGCCGTACAGGTTTAGGGGTTGACCCTCGTACTTATAGGGGGGGGGGGGTCGATTGTCGAACGGATACCCCTCGTTTTTCACGAATAACTCGCGCAAAAAGCTGCCGATCGCGACGATACTTGCACTACCATCGACTATCGAGTTCATCAATTTTACACATACCCTGAAAATTTCATAACCACGACCCCAATAACCTTGAAATGTCACCTATTTCTCGTGAACTGTTTGGTCAGAATCGCGATTCAGCGTATGTCGGCCCACATTACCCGCGTGTTTGCAGTCTTTTTGTGGTTTTGACCGTTTAAACATCTGTAATGACGTTGGTCCGATTTACATACTGTGTGTTGTGTGCTGGGAACATTCCGGAGCGGTTACCCATCCCCAGTGCGCGGGTACCCGCCCAGTTTGGTCTGGCGTCTCGCTGTCTGTGTCTGGCTGTCTGGTGTCTCGTTTTGTGATTGGCTGACCGTTGATCGGTCAGTCACGTGATCGTATCGGACGGTCAGGGCCGCGTCGTGCTGGCCGGTCGGTCGGGGGGAGTCGGTCGGTCACCGCTGAGCCAGCCGTCGGTATGGTGCTGTTGCTAAAGTAAAATATACCGCACCCGGTTTAACAGAGTGTCTCAAGATACAACAGTGGCGACGAGGCAAGAACCCACGGCAAGATGAGTGATTCAGATGAGAGGAAGCCGGCAACAGGTATCGCAACAATGCACCAGCCCACGGTATGTCTCACGTCCGCCATTGGCGAATTTGATGAACGTCAAGGCACCTGGAGGGATTACATTGAACGATTTGAGTTCTTTTGCGAGGCTCAGGGCATTTCAGAGGATGATAGAAGGAGAGCACTTCTCTTGGCTGGTATTGGGCAAACTGCGTATCAAAGAGTCAAAACCATTCTGGCACCCACCCGACCCTCTGAGATGTCATATAGAGATATTGTCATGGCCGTGCAAGATCATGTGGATCCGAAGCAGTCTGTTATCGTTAGCCGTTTCCGGTTCCATCAAAAATGTCAAGGATCAGAACAGGGGATAAAGGAGTTTGTGGCTGACTTGAAAGTCATGGCCGATCCATGCGACTTTGGATCAAGTAGAGATGATATGTTACGCGACAGATTTGTATGTGGACTCGCTGATCAGGCGTTGCAGAAGCGGTTGTTGACCGAGGAAGATACTCTGACGTTCCAACAGGCGCAGCGGATCGCACTGGCAGCAGAGACGGCGACGAAGAGCGCAAGACAGCTGGCTGCCCAGTCATCCGATCCAGCGGCGCAGGACGTTCACCGAGTTGGATCTGCACGACAGGTGAAAGGGTCACCATCCAATCGGTACGTCAGATCGGAATGTTTCCGCTGCGGAGGCACTAATCATTCACCTCAAACATGCCGCTTTAAGACGTACAAGTGTCATTCATGTGGCGAGCAGGGTCACTTAAGTCGCAAATGTCGCAAAAATGATCAAGATCATGTGCGCGCCTCGCAAGCTAAATCTACACACTGTGTACTGACTGATGAGTCTGTCAGAGTATCAGAGCCTAGTCAGGCTGCTGAAGAGGATAATGTTTGCAGCGTGTACAGTTACACTGTGGGTGAAGCAAGGTCCCCTCCAATCACAGTTGATATCATAGTGTTTGGTGTGCCCGTTACCTTTGAGGTTGACACAGGATCGGCATCCACGCTGATGAATGCCCGCACCTTTGAGGTGGTGAAGACTACAGGCGGCGACGACAGCCTTGAACTTCGGCGATGCAGCGCCAGGCTTCGGACGTACACGGGTGAGCCCATCCCGGTCGAGGGGGAGTTCAGTGCCGTCATTCATTACGGTGAGCAGCACCTGGAGCTTCCCGTCGTCGTGGTCGACACTGCAGGACCCAATCTTCTGGGAAGGGACTGGATGAAGTTCCTTCAGCTCGACTGGCAAACCATCAAACAGGTCAGAGGTGATCCTGGGCGGGGACAGTCAATGGGTGCAGAGCTGCAGAAAAAGTACCGTGATGTGTTTTCTGCTGATCTAGGGTGCCTGAAAGACGTGGAGGTGAAGTTTGACGTCAATGAGGATGCAAAACCATGTTTCTATTCGTCCACGGAACATTCCCTATGCCTTCAGGAAACGCGTGGAGGAGCAGCTGGACGCAGAGGTCGAGGCTGGGGTCCTCGAGCCAGTGCGCACTGCGGACTGGGCGTGCCAAATCGTCCCGATAGTGAAGCCCGACGGTAAAATCCGCATATGCGGAAACTTCAAACAGACAGCTAACAAAGCCATTCGAGTAGACAGACACCCCCTGCCCAAGGTCCAGGACATGTTTGCCCAACTGGCTGGGGGAAAGGTGTTTGCCAAGCTAGACTTAAGCCGTGCATATCAACAGTTGAAAGTAGCAGAGGAGCACAGACACTTGCTGACAATCAACACTCACCGTGGACTGTATCGTTACCTGCGGCTACCGTACGGGATAAACTCAGCTGTGGGAATCTTTCAGCGTGAAATGGAAAAGCTGCTGGCTGGCGTGCCAGGAGTCTTCATCTTCCTCGACGACATCCTGGTCTCTGGACGGGCTGAAGACGAGCTCGTGTCCCGTCTGGAGCAAGTGCTGCAACGACTCCAGGACTCCGGACTTCGGGTGAGACCGGACAAGTGTCACTTCTTGGTCCCCCGCGTTGAGTATCTTGGTCATGTCGTCGACAAAGATGGCCTTAGTACCACGGAGGCCAAGGTTCGAGCCATAACCCAGTCACCTCCTCCCACAAATGTCTCTGAGCTGAAGTCGTTTCTCGGCATCGTCAATTATTATTCCCGGTTCATCCCCAGCAGAGCCCAAACGCTACACCCGCTCTTTGAGCTCCTCAAAAAGAGTACACCGTGGTCCTGGGAACAAGAGCATCAAAGGGCTTTCGAGGAATGCAAACGATTGCTCACGTCTAACCAACTCCTGGTTCATTTTGATCCTGACCTCCCACTAGTCCTCACCTGTGACGCCTCCGCTCGTGGGATCGGAGCTGTGCTCTCACATGCGTTTCCAGATGGGTCTGAGAGGCCGATAGGATATGCGTCTAGGACGCTACAGACAGCAGAAAAGCAGTACAGTCAAATCGAAAGAGAGTCCCTAGCTATCATATTTGGTGTCACCGCCTTCCGTGACTACTTATATGGGGCAAAATTTGAACTGGTCACAGATCACAAGCCTCTTATCAAGCTCTTTGGAGAGAACAGCGGCATGCCAGAGATGACAAGCGCCAGAATCAAACGCTGGGCGCTGAAGCTTTCCCAGTATACCTATACGATCAGATACAAGTCAACAAATGACATTGCTCACGCTGATGGTCTGAGCCGACTGACACAGTCAGTAGGGCAGAGTTACATCCCTCCTGAGGAAGAGGATGTCTTACTCATCAATTACCTTGAAGAGGCCAACATTTTGAGTGCCCCTAAAGTGGAAAGACTGACGAACAGGGATCCTGTTCTCAGCAAGGTCATCCATTCTATTCGAATGGGATGGTCACAGAACGTGAGCTCTGATCTGAAACCCTATGCAGATAGACAGACTGAGCTCTACATGATCGGAGGCTGTGTAATGTGGGGAACAAGAGTGGTCATACCTGAGGCGGCTCGAAAGTCTGTCCTGGAAGAACTCCACAGTTGTCACTTCGGGGTAGTCAAAATGAAAGCTTTGGCTAGAACAACAGTTTGGTGGCCTGGGATTGACCGAAATATCGAGGAGCTAGCCGCATCATGTTTTGTATGCAGATCCCAGAGTCCAGATCCTCCTAAAGAAGAGCTCCATCCGTGGCAATATCCAGTGAAGGCCTGGTCCAGACTGCACATTGACTTTGCCGGCCCGAGGAAGGGCAGGTATTACATGGTTGTCTGTGATGCCTTTTCAAAATGGATCGAGGTAGAGATCATGAGTTCCATTGATGCACGTACCACGATCAAGAAACTGACTTCAATATTCGCGCGTTTCGGTCTGCCCGACGTCATTGTCACAGACAATGCCCCAACATTCATTAGCTCAGAATTCCAAGAGTTTTTGAACAGGAACAGCATTCAGCATCGCACGATAGCCCCTTACTCGCCTGCTTCGAATGGCTTGGCTGAACGTGCTGTCCGAGAGCTCAAGGTACGGCTTGACAGATTGACTGACGTATGTGCTGAGGAGGCTGTGTCTAAATGGCTTTTCTTGTACAGGGCGACGCCGCACGCAACGACCGGGGAGTCTCCTGGCAAGCTGCTCATCGGATACAAGCCGGTCACCAGGTTCGATAAACTGAAGCCGGACCTTCAAGGTAACGTGATCAGGAAACAGGAGAACTTGGTAGAAAGTCACAAAAGAAGGCATACTCGAGTGAGGCCTGCGTTTGTTGTTGGTCAAACTGTGTGGGCTCGGAAATTCGGCAGAGAGAAGGCTGTGTGGTGCCCTGCTATTGTTGTCAAAAATCGTCATCCTCTGTACTGGGTCCGGATGTCCAATGGGCAGGTACACAAGCGTCACATCAATCAATTGTACTCACAGGCTGCATCGGCGCCCAGTCTGGAGACTGCTGAGGAGACTGCTGAGGAGCTGGAGCACGGTGGCGACATCTGCGGCGCCGATGTCCCCGATCGTCTGGCCGGCCGTTCCGCTACTGCTCCCGCTGCTGCTGCGGAGCCGGCTGAACCGCCTGCTGAGCGTCTGGAGTCGGCCATCGGCGGCGCCGGGTCGACCTCTCCTGCTCGGCCGTCGACACTGAGACGAGATGAGAGCGCCGGTCGCGTCTTCCCGGAGCGTCACGTGCCAGACGCTGCGCTACAGCGAGTGGAGCCCGGTGTCGTCTCCCCTCGATTCTCCCCGCCGCGATTCGACCGCGGCTCACTATTTGGTGAACCATCGCCGGAGCGTCCGTCCGTGAGCGCAAATGTCCCCAGGCAGATGGGCGTTGACGCTGACGCTCCACGACGATACCCGCTTAGAAATAGACGGCCTGTGGTGCGCTACTAGAGGTCATAATGTATCTGTCGAAGTTGATTTTGTTTAATTGCAAGGCTAACTCTTGATTTAAATGGGAGGGTGTTGTGTGCTGGGAACATTCCGGAGCGGTTACCCATCCCCAGTGCGCGGGTACCCGCCCAGTTTGGTCTGGCGTCTCGCTGTCTGTGTCTGGCTGTCTGGTGTCTCGTTTTGTGATTGGCTGACCGTTGATCGGTCAGTCACGTGATCGTATCGGACGGTCAGGGCCGCGTCGTGCTGGCCGGTCGGTCGGGGGGAGTCGGTCGGTCACCGCTGAGCCAGCCGTCGGTATGGTGCTGTTGCTAAAGTAAAATATACCGCACCCGGTTTAACAGAGTGTCTCAAGATACAACACTGTGGTCAGGTGGGTGTCCAGGTCCCATGAAGGTCAGGCCATTGACCTTTGATGACTTTGGTTCACTCTTCGAGTTTTGTATGTCTCCAGGGTAGTTAGCTGATTTCGAATTTAGCAACCATTTGAATGAACGAGGTAGTTTTGGGGCCTTCGTAACGTGTTGCGAGGCTGTCAGTAGTGGTTGACAGTTGACACCTACTATAAATACCCGGCAAGGCCCATATAGTTGACCTGACCTGACCCAGCCTGGTCTTAATGCATACTAGCGACATATCCGTGACCAGAACTAACATGAAATTCGTGACCACTGACCACTGCACCCCGAAAACTTCAAAACAACCTCACTACGTAGTTCTCACAGTTCCCGATGTTCCCGACTTTTGGGTCATTGACCTGACCTGGAAGGTCAACCAATGGCCTATCCTTAAAATTGGATATCATCGGCTGGCTTCCTCTCGCCACGGACGACATGCTCGCTTTTGCCGCGAAGCTCTAGCTCCTACAGGGGCCGAAAGGCGGGGATCCAGGCCCCCATGCGTGGCGGCTGGCAAAACACCTAAACAGGAAGAGTTAACAGCACCTCTACACACAGATTGGATAACACAGAAACTTGTTGGAGCGAAATTCTTACATAGGCGGCGGCTGGCCTCATCACGGCATGACATCAAATCCATCTATGTATGCCATCCGCTCCCGGCATGAATGGTCACTGTCCAATGTCCATCCAACTCTTACAGTGTTTCTACTGTCTGTCTGTCCCCTCCTAGTGTTCCAGCCCAAAATTTTCCCACTGTCCCTTCGTCCCCCTTTGTTTGCTGAAGTGGATGTGCACTGCAGTCACCTGTTTGAAATAGCGGTCGAAGAGCGACGGCGGTGAGTGGCCGGACAGCACCGCCGGCAGCCGGAACGCCATCCAGAACCAGAATTTGAGCGTCATCACCGATGGGTATTTCATGTCACCGTACTCGGCCACGAAGCGCACCAGCGCCTCATCCTTCTCACGGGTGAAGCCCAGCCGGCCGTCGCCCGCCTTGAGGGCAGCAGCCCGCAGTGCCAGCTCCTCGTCGGTGTCAGAGTCGGGGGGCGCCTTCCACACTGCCAGGTCAGACCAGGCGCACCAGCCGAGCAGCACGTCGTTCACCCACTCCGACCGGCTGTATCGAGAGGTGGACTGCAGCCTGAATGGACACAGGTCCACCACCCGGCCCTTGCGCACACACTCGTCCACGAACCTGCCGGAACAGACAGACGCTCAGTACAAAGGAATCGGAGCACAGACCGATACAGAGAGGCTCGCCAACCGGCCTGTCGAAGGTCGTGTCAGTCCCTCCCATCCCTCCTTTCACTCACTGACTGCTGAAGGTCCCCTCCTCCCATTCACTGACTGCTGAAGCTCCCATCCTCCTACTCACTGGCTGCTGAAGGTCCCTCCCGTCCCTCCTTTCACTCACTGACTGCTGAAGGTCCCCTCCTCCCATTCACTGACTGCTGAAGGTCCCCTCCTCTCCTTTCACTCACTGACTGCTGAATGTCCCTCCCGTCCCTCCTTTCACTCACTGGCTGCTGAAGGTCCCTCCCATCCCCTTCTCTCAATGACTGCCTGCTGAAGGTCCCTCCCGTCCCCTTCTTTCACTCACTTGATGCTGAAGGTGTCCTGCCGATCACAGACGTCCGGGCGCTGCTGCGATCCCGGCACGCCAGCGCCTAGAGTCACTGCATGCCGACGGCGCGCCGGGTTGGTCACCAGCGTGCCGCCGTGGCCCACCACCAGCGCCTGCAGCCGGCACCGCTCCGGGCGTGGCAGGCCCGCATCCAGGTAAAACTCCATCGGTTTGCCATCGCCCGTCCGCACAAACAGCTGTGAAGGCGGCACCATGGCCACAGCACAGGGCCCACAGGGCTGAGGGATACAGAAGAAGGTAAGTGCTGACTGCTGGGGCCAAGGCATTGAGGAACACAGGAGGCCACTGGTCAGGTCAGTAAATAGCCACAGGGCTAAACTTGAAAGACACAAGGGGTCAGTACAGCATTGACATGGATGAAGTATTCCTGGATAGGACACTCCCTATTCCCCAACACTAGCTCCGGCGACCAAGCGGACGCCCTGGTGGCAGAGCGCCGAAACATCGGTGGCGAGTGCGCCGGCGGGCGGCGTGCGTGCTGAAAACGCGGAGAGCGAAATTAGCGAGCTTTAGCTTGTAAGACACGATTTCAGACACTTTAAACATATTTTTAGTCTTTTTTTTAAATAATTATGATGGCTCCATTTAGTCACTATTACATACGGAACCATTAGACACTCTCTGTCCATAGCAGGCCTACCTTAAATGACGCCTACACCCTCGCCGTCGTGGACTCGTGGGTGGTCGGAAAATCGGCGGAGTGTCCCATCTAGGAATACCTAATCCATGGCATTGAGGAGGGGGGGGGGGGGGGTAGTGGTATTCAAGCAAATACAGGGTTGTTAAAAGAATGACACATTTTAAAACAACTTATGTCAAGATGCTGACATACCTATTACCTACTCTACTATCTGCTATGAGATGAGAGCTCATAGAGAGTAACTTGATTTGCACAGGAAGGAAATACACATTTATTTGAGATAGATCAGGTTAAATTTCTGCAACTTGCAGGTGACATTTACAACCATCAGTCATTCAGCCATTGCTTCAAAGAAACTGTCGCCAAAATTCATCCCATAATTGGCCGTCTGGCTGTCCTTGACTGTTAAGTGATACCTAACTGGCTCCCGCCTCCCAAGTCTTAGAGGTATATGTATATATGAAGGGGCCGTGCTATTAACTGGATTATTTGCCGGCTGACGCCATATGATGGTGCTAGCAGAGATTGTGGTCACAGAGATTGTTATATATCAATGCTAGATATAAAAGACTAAATATCGATCTAGTTATTTATCTTCTATTGCCATTTTACAAGTGTATGTCCATCTAGTACTATGCTTATATCTATATATTATTGGCTATAATACGGCCCCAGCTGGCCAACTAGCTGACTGAATCCAGTTGTTAACAAGGCCCAGATGAAGTAGGCATGGTTGGTAAGCTGGTAGGTTGTAGGGGTATAAGTAAGCCTGGCGTCCCAGGAAGATGCCAGATACCGTTGTAGGTGTAGGTTTGGGTATCGGTAACCCTGGCGTCACCGGTAGCGTTTTCGTTCAAAGTTAACGTTTCCTGTATTAGGCCGCCGTGCCAAGCCGAAGCATGCTGTGACGTCACTGGGTAAGAGAAGATAACTTACCACGCTATCAGTATCGACTGAGACTCAGATAGACTCAGACCGACTCAGGCAGACTCAAACTGACTCGACCGACTCAAACCGATTCAGATCGACTCAGTCCGACTCAGAACGACTCAAATTGACTCAGACCGACTCAACCGACTTAAATCGATTCCGATCGACTCAGACAGACTCAGAACGACTCAGACAGACTCAGGCCGACTCAGACCGATTCAGATCGACTCAGACCGACTCAGATAAACTCAGAACGACTCAAACTGACTTAGAACGACTCAACCGACTAAAATCGTTCCAATCGACCCAGACAGACTCAGAACGACTCAGAGAGTCTCAGGCAGACTCAAATCGACGCAGGCATACTCAGACCGATTCAGATCGACTCAGACCGACTCTAATAGACTCAGACCGACTCAAACTGACTCAGACCGACTCAACCGACTCAAATTGATTCTGATCGACTCAGACGGACTCAGGCAGACTCAGACAGACTCAGACAGACTCATGCAGACTCAAACCGACTCGGCACACTCAAACTGACTCGACCGACTCAAACCGATTCAGGTCTGATGATTCAGGTCACCACTGGGTCTGTCTGAGTCGGTCTAAATCGGTTTGAGTCGGTTGAGTCGGTTAGTCTGACTGAGTCTGTCTGAGTCTGATTCGTTCTGAGTCTGTCTGAGTCGATCGGAATCGATTTGAGTCGGTTGATTCGGTCTGAGTCAGGTTGAGTCGTTCTGAGTCTAGCTGAGTCGGGTTGAGTCGATATGAATCGGTTTGAGTCGGTCGATTCAGTTTGAGTGTGCCCGAGTCGGTTTGAGTCTCCCTGAGTCGTTTCGAGTCTGTCTGAGTCGATCGGAATTGATTGAGTCTATCTGAGTCGATCTGAATCGGTTTGAGTCGATCGAGTCAGTGAGAGTCTGCCTGAGTCGATTTGAGTCTATCTGAGTCTGTCTGAGTCGATCGGAATCGATTAGAGTTAGTTGAGTCGGTCTGAGTCATTTTGAGTCGTTCTGAGTCTATCTGAGTCTGTCTGAGTCGACCTGAATCAGTTTGAGTTGGTCGAGTCAGTATGAGTCTGCCTGAGTCGGTTTGAATAGTTCTGAGCAGGGCTGCGGAGTCGATGGATTTTCGGCGACTCCGACTCCGACTCCGGCTTTCAAAAACTAGCTCCGACTCCGACTCCGGGCAGAATTGTCGACTCCGACCGACTCCAACTCCCGACTCCGACTCCGCAGACCTAGCAGGGCTGCGGAGTCGACAGATTTTCGGTGACTCCGACTCCGGCTCAGGTTTCTAAAATCGACTCAGACTCCGACTCCGACTCCGGTCACAACTGTCGACTCGGACCGACTCCGACTCCGACTCCGCAGCCCTGGTTCTGAGTCTTACTGAGTCGATCGGAATCGATTTGAGTCGGTTGAGTCGGTCTGAGTCAGTTTGAGTCGTTCTGAGTCTATCTGAGTCGGTCTGAGAATCTATCTGAATCGGTCTGAGTCTCCCTGAGTCGGTCTGCGTCTGTCGGAGTCGATCGGAATCGATTTGAGTCGATCAGAATCGATTTGAGTTGGTTGAGTCGGTCTGAGTTAGTTGGAGTCGGTCTGAGTCGATCTGAATCAGTTTGAGTCGGTCGAGTCACCTTGAGTCTACCTGAGTCGATTAGAGTTTGCCTGAGTCGTTTTGAGTCTGTCGGAGTCGATCGGAATCGATTTAAGTCGGTTGAGTCGGTCTGAGTCAGTTTGAGTTGTTCTGAGTCGGTCGATACTGATAGCGTGGTACTTTATCATCTCTTACCCAGTGACGTCACAGCATGCTTCGGCTTGGCACGGCGGCCTAATACAGGAAACCTTAGCCTTGCACGAAAACACTAGGTACCGGTGACGCCAGGGTTACCGATACCTAGGTTTGTAGGTTTGTAGGGTAGGTAGGTTTGTAGGTTAGGTTGCAGGTTTGTAGGTTGTCGGTTTGTACGTTGCAGGTTGTAGGTAAGGTTAGGTGTGGTACCAAAAGTTATAGTATGAATACAATGTTTTTATTCAACTAAATTCGACTGATATGAGTGTGTTGTACCTACCAGCAAACTGACCTTTGCTGGTCACGTAGATGCCACGGTCGCCAAAGCGAAACGCATGGTCGGTCTGCTGATCAGAAGCATGCAGCGATCGGCCGTCCCGCGCCGCGCCAGGGTCAGTTTTAAGCCTTTACTGTCTGTGTTTTACGCTCATGTTCGCTCCATCATCGAATACGGCAGTGTGGTCTGGTCTGGTGCAGCTGTGACTCACCTCAAAAGACTCGAACGTATTCAGCACACATTTCTCATCTGGCTGGCCTGTTCTAGTAACACTTGCTCACAAAATCTTAGCTATGATCACCTACTTCAGCATTTTAACGTTCCCTCGATCAAATCACGTCTCATGCAACATGACCTGATGTTCCTTTACGGTGTGTTTCACGGCCACATTGACTGTCCTCAGCTGCTACATCAGTTTCAGCTGTCGACACCTGTCAGACGCAACAGGTCCCCAGCTCTTTGGCATGTGCCGTTTGCTCGAGTGGCAACGATCAAAAACAATACCTTCTGCCGTATCCCATCGAGGTGCAATGAGCTTTTAAGAGACAACACATCTCTAGACTTCTTTTATTCTCCGATATCAGTGTACAAGGCCTCTGTAAGGCTCCATGCTGCACGAGCTGGCTTTTATTGAGCTTTTGTCCGTCCGAAGGGTTGCGTGTATTCATATAGATTTATCTTATATTTATCCATGACTTCACGTGTAACCGGGTTTTATCTGTACCTGTTGGTGATGAGCAAATAAACATAAACAAACATAAACATAAACCTTGACCTGAGGACAAGACAGAAAACGAATATTAGTGAGAGCACCACATTCGACAGTAATGGATTCCATGACGGTTTTTCGTCCAGCAGATTTTCGTCGGACAATTTTTCGTCCGCAGATTTTCGTCCGACTTTTTTTCGTCTCGCATTTTTTCGTCTGTACATTTTTTCGTCTGTGCATTTTTTCGTCTGTACATTTTTTCGTCTGTACATTTTTTCGTCCGGACATTTTTTCGTTCGTATATTTTTTCGTCTGTGCGTTTTTTCGTCCGGACATTTTTTCGTCTACAATTTTAACGTAACGTAACCTAACCTAACCTAACCTAACCTAACCTAACCTTACCTAGCCTTACCTACTGATGTTTGCCTACCGGGGGATAAGGAAAAAGTTACTTGCATGAATAGATTGCAAGCAATGGTAAGTCAAATATTTTTAGGTTAAGTGGTTATGCATCAGGCTTCAGGCCTTCGGCCTGAAGCCAGATACACAACCACTTAACCTAAAAATATTTGACTTACCATTGCCTGTAATCTCTCCTAAGGCATTGCCTTCGGCACTGCACTGCTTCGCCCCGAGTATTATTATGACATCATTTGCCTCCACAGTTGAATAGCATTGTACTATGTTTTCACTCAACCTTGGGTGAACAGACGTAAAATTTATTGAACGAAAAAATGTCCGGACGAAAATATGTACCGACGAAAAAATATACGAACGAAAAAATGTCCGGACGAAAAAATGTACGGACGAAAAAATGTACAGACGAAAAAATGCACAGACGAAAAAATGTACAGACGAAAAAATGCGAGACGAAAAAAAGTCGGACGAAAATCTGCGGACGAAAAACTGTCCGACGAAAAAATGTCAGACGAAATTTTGTCCGGACACGACAGTAATGGGCGGTTTATCACATTAGGTCAAGTTTGTTTTGGTCTATATATCTCCGTCGTCCCAATCTGGCATCTTCCTGGGACGCCAGGCTTACTAATACCTAAAATACTAGGAAAAAACACTGAAACGGATTTACATACCTACGTAAGCGCCGCGCAAACGAGATGTTTCGATATTTGCGCGCAAACGTGGTCGTGCGGCGCAAACATATGAAGCGCGGCATAATTAGAACCTGTTTAGGGCTGCAAAAACGCAGCAGAATTTCATCCAACCATAATATTTATTTGTTGAAGCCCCTTAAAGGCTGAAACATTATATTTCCAAACCGAATCTTATTTACTGACCAAAAATAAACTGAACTACAATTTTCGAAACTTATTAACTACAGGTAAACACCTACAAATGGGAAGCCCACTGAGCTTCACTTTTGTCGAAATGTTGCTGCTTTTTAGTGCAATGTCAGCTCTTCTACGTAACCAAGGCTATGGAACTCCAGGTAAGGACACCAGCCGTTTGACCTTGAACGCCGCCGGCCGGCCGATGACGTCATTGGAGGCAAGCCGGCTCGGCGGACGCATCGAGCGAGCGTATAACGGAGGAGCGTTGGACGTTGCGGGAGTTGGGGAGAGATTTTAACGTTTGCATACCACCATTGTTATTTTGATTGATCTAGACTGCATACTTATAAAGCTCGACGCATCTTAGGCCTGGATGGTGCGTACATTCGTAGAACGGTCCGACGTCCGTGGTCGAAGCTGTCTACTCTACATGTACCAAAAGACGCTAAGACCGGTGCAATAACGGCGACCCGATCCCGTCCTTGGCGATTCTAGGACTCGTTAGGACCCAGGCCGAGTCTGACCCGTCTATTTTTAGGGAAACGGGGTGGGTGAATTGACAACCGAGTACCGATGGTTAGAATTGATCCCGTCGTCGAGCGATGGCTGATTGACAGACAACACATGTTGTAGTGGGCGGATAAGCATCAGGGATAATGCCTGAACGTAGGCAAGCATAATTGGTCGGCCACATTGTTTAGGAATATAAAATCGTAACGGAGGTCCTAGAGGATATTATCTCTACATTACGAGGATTCACCACCAGTGAAAATTACTACTGTTAAACCCTCGGTCCCGGGCAACTCCGGGGAGCTGCAGTATCCGGCGGCCACCTCGTCGACTCGCAGGTCCTTTGGGCTTCCGTGATGCTTCAGTGCTTCGCCCAGAGGCACGGGTAGAGCAGTAGGATGTGGGGTGAGGTGTCTGTACGCCTCTTCATTGTAGGTACGACGCATACAGCGCCCAGTCCCGTCGAAGCTCAATAATCGACCGTGACATATTCTTAATTGGCGGATCCAGGAAGCGGTCTTGAACACATCGGGGGGCATATACCCTAAAAAAGGTTTCTGTGAATTAAAAAACATCGGATTTCGATTCCTTGCGCACTACTGTGCACTTCGATCAATACAGTTTTCCTCATAAAAGTTGTGAAGTTTTCGTTTTATTCTCGAAAAACGATTTCGGACGCTGCCCCGGATGTGGGCCTACGTGGGGGATAACATTTGTCCCAAATGCCTTCCCTTGCATCCGCCAGCGGGTTGCCCCGCCCTGAGCTTAACTAAAAACGTCTTAAAATCCCACCGGAGAGCCGAATCCGATAACTCATCTCTGTCTGCCCGTCTAAATTACTACGCACCGTACGGCGCCCAGCCCCGTCGGAGCACTGAACCGACCGTGATATTTTTGGATTTCCCCCATCCCCAGCTCCATTAGAAACGTTCTCTCTCCCCATCCAATTGCTCATGATGTCATTTCAAATTCAATACCTACCTCATCTCTGTCTGCCCGCCCATTCATTGCACACCTTACGGTGCCCGGCCCCGCCAGAAGGATCCTAGCGCGCTGAGTGGTTGCCTCCAGCCGCGTCATCGCGAGGCCCCGCGGGGCCCGCAAATGAATACATTGCGTGAATAGCCGTGTCGCCCCCCTGTACGTAACGTACGGTACGGAACTTTGTACGGAACCAAGGTACGGAACTTGACGGGAGGGAACTTACGGAAGCGTATTTACAAATTGCAACCGAGCTCCGCCGTGGGGTAAGGTGGGCAGGGGTTTTCACACTACGGCTGCGGTTGAACTACCGTCTGTGGTAGAAACTTCAGGACGATGGCGCGTTTCATACGAAATCTGGCGCAATGCTTGTTTGCTTCTGTACTTGTGCTCTTATTTGCTGTGAATTCTTGAAGTGGGAGTGTTTCAATAACAATTTGTGGATTATTCGAGTTTCTTTATATAAACATAATACTGATATGATCAATGACTTAGTTTGGGAATTGATACACATTTTGTAGAGATTTGTCTGGCAAATGGTGTAACAATTACAAACCTCAAGCCTATCATGATCTGAAGCTGTTATAACAAATCAAAATTGCTTCAATGTTACCTTTACCTTGTTGGAAAGACTGGAGCATGGTTCAAGATGATGCGTAAAAATTCAAGATTTGTGCGAAAGCTTGTGACTGAAGAACGTAAACAGTTGGCGATATGATGGCTCAATCAAACGTGGAAATGGACGACAAAAGTAGAGTTTCAACATTCCAGCATGTGAGAAAAACTTCAGAAATTCATGGTTCTTGTAGTATTGCATTCTTCTTATGTACAGTTATAGGTTTTGTTAGGATATTTCAAATTCATTGTGTCAGTTAAGATATAGATGGATTGCGGATTTTTTTTTTTTTTAGAATCATTGTATGGTAGCTAGGTACTTGTTCGGTAAAAAGGTATGTGATGAATGCCATGAGAAGGTTTTTTATTATTTAATATATGGTCGTTGTTGTACCTACAAAAATGCAAGCTTACTAGCAACTAGTTTCTGAATCAAATCGAAAGTATTTGCCATGAATGTAAATATGTACCTGCAAAGTATGTCAATAAATTTGTGTGATGTTGACCAGAGAGTTTCATCATCTGGGCATTTATGTCGCTTCCTACATTAGGTGTTAAGCATAGTAATTACGGATGAACTTTGTGCCAATATCTTCAATGCACATTGCACAATGTATGTAGCATGTCTACAACCCTCACTGATCCTGCTATAGCTATAGGCATTTGGCACCAGCTTGACCAAGGGCATGCACTTCACAGTTGCACAACCTTTTGTTTTGTCATGTACCACCAGTCACTTTTTGTGCACCAGTCACTTTTTGTGCACATAGCAGTGCACACAACAATGTGCAGAGGGCCTACACAAAAACAACATGATTAGTGTGCACTATGCACAGCATTGTACCCTGATTATTTGAATATTTTGACCACTCAACAGTCAACAGTCAGGAGATAATTATTTAATATCACATTTATTATACATCACTTGTCAAACAATAGCATGACGACACACATTTTGACAAGCAATCATGGTAGTATTCCAATAAGTTGGACAGTCACCTCCCTGGGCGTCATTTTTCCGGGAAGGTACCTCTGCAGTGTTGTGGTAGGCTAGGTTGAATTAAGTTAAGTTAGGCGAAGTAAGGTGGTTAGAACCAGGTCAGACCGTAAGGCCTGGTCAGGTTGATTTTAATCTTTCATTCTAATTTGACATAGATACCTATTCCCTATGTTTTTGCTCCAGCCTGAATTTCATTAGGTAATGAGTTAATTTTGCTTTGTTTTTATCTGTCTTGTTTTGTGTTTTTGTCCCTGATATTTTGCCCCATAGGCAAGGGTGGAGCTTTTCCAGGAAAGGAGGTGGAGCATGATTGGAGGCGCTCAACCAGACGGCATAGGAGGGCACGATTTCTGAACGCGCACTGATGCCTGATTCAAGCCACGCTGTCTTCATGCGGGGCGGCGCGCTACTTAACCCTAGAACACCTGGGGGGGGGGGGTTGTATCAACCCCCCCCCCCCGAGGTTTTTCTTAGCTACACGCCGAACCGTTTCAGATAGCCTGCTCAAATTTTCAGTACCCTTTGGGGCATCCTTTGCGCAACTTTTGGTAATTTTTTTGTCAAGGTCATGTCAGGTCACGGAGTTATGACGTCATAAAGGGAACAACCTCCGGCCAGATTTACGCTAAATTGGAGATTGCTTAACATTGGTATAAATGCCGACTGACCTAACGCACTGATGGATTGTTTTATAGAATCACAACTGGCTGATTTGACATTGGCACAATGTCCGTTGACATTTTGAAGGTCACTAAAGGTCAAGGTAAGGTCATTGACCTCGGTTGACCTGTAATGACTTCTTGCACTTGTATGCCATTTCGGGGTATTTTGATGCCCTGAATTCGAATTTGCTATCCATTTCAGGCATCGTCGGTTGTTTCTTGTAGTTCATTTTGGGTCAGGGTCAGGTCAGTGACGTCACACGCCTGACGTGACCCAATGGACAAATGACCTTGCAGACTTCCGATGCTCCCAACGCATCATTTTATCAAGTTATGACATCGAAATACACACCAAACGATAGAGAATTGATCAAGGATCACGTTAGTGAAGGTTTCAAGTCGATATTTCTTACCGTTTTGCCGCAATCGGCGCGGAAATCTGAAAAAGTTAGATTTTTCCGAAAATTTGACCTTTGACCGGTCATAAGTAGGTCAAATGTTGACCTAGGACCAAAAAATATACCACCAATCGCGAGATCTCGTTGAGAGCAATCCGTTGGTTTTTTCCGCTAAGCTCTACGACCTTCCGTTTTGAAACGCCAGGGGGGGCGTAACAACCCCCCCCCCCTGGTCGTTCGTGTTATGAGAAATGGCCTGGTCGTGCGAGGGTTAAAAGTCCCTAAAAGAACGGGAAGTGATGCCGATAGAACCTTCAATCATTCTGGGCTAACGCTTATGACTTGGAAAAAGTCGCGATCCCAATTCAATCGAAAACCTGTGGGCTCTTGTTCAGCAGGAGGTGTATGAAGAGCCACCCGCCATAAGCACTGCTCAACCGCAGGCACAGGTTTAGACGGCGTTGGTCCGCATCAAAGCCAGTGTGCTGTAGAATTCATTGGCTGAAATGCTCCAGAACATTCACCACTGCGTTTTTATGAAAGGTGGCCACAAGCTCAGTTAAAAGAAAAAGTACCAGATTGTTTTGCTTTTTAATTACAGCGGGAAGAAAGGTGTCCGGATAATTTCGTTACACCCCCTGTAATGTTCAAATTGTTGCTAAATTCGAAATCAGCTCCAAAAACTAGCCTAGAAACATGTAAAACTCGAAAAAGGAACCGAGGTCATCAAAGGTCATTGAGCTGACCTGACCTTCAGGTGACCTTGACACCCACCCTAATGCATGGGACCAGCATCATATCACATGTTTCAACGCTTGAAACCACGTGAAGACTGCAACCGCGCGGCTAGTGCGATCCGACATACGCCGTATCGCGATTCGGGCCAAACATGGTCTCGAGAAATAGGTCACAGGTCAAAGGTCATTTAGGTCAGGGTCATGAAATTGTCAGGGTAGGTGTAAAATTGATAAAATCGGGGGCATTGAAATTTTCGTCGCGATCGGACGGTTTTTACGCGAGTTACTCACGAAAAAAACGATAAAGCGCACCCAAAAAGGCAGAAATATGCACATGCGATATCCTATACTGCGAAAAAAGTGCATCATTTTTTAACGTCGCCGACAAATTGTAATTACCCTAAGCTCAGGCAGATGTATGGTAGAAAATCCCCCAAGTGAAATACACTACGGCGGAAATAAAATACCCTACGGCGGAGCTCGGTTGCAATTTGTAAATACGCCTTACGGAATTGACGCATGGCAAGGTTGAGTTTTTTTGTTTTATCCTCGAGCCTCGAAGATAATTTGATTCGATTTCAATTTTGGGCGCTGCAGGGAGGGTTTAACAAAATTGTTGATATGAGCAGTCACAGAGACTTCTCTAATGGACTGTGCGCTGATCCGAGGAAATCAGCATTGCAATTGGAGGCTCAAAAATAGGTGCACTTTTAGGCATCTTTTTACAACGAAAAGGGTGCAGAATATTTACAAATTCGGATGTATGGTATCTCATACTTTTATCTACTGGTCGGATTTTTTTTTTGTTACATTCAAAATGAATAAATAAATGTATATAAATGAGGACATGTTTTCTCATTCAGTTAGTCATTTGTTCATGCTGGAGGTACCTATATACTTCACAAATGCAGCCGTACTTTGCACGCATTTTTTTGCTTTTGAGTGTTGGTTGCATTTGTTGGTTGTCATTGCTAATTTGTCGGATTGAGTCATTTGCGTTGGTTTAGAAAAAAGGTTTTGAGAAATAACTATACTTACCTACATAATATAGGGCCGCAAAGAAGCAGTAAAAAAATAAGTTAAAAATAGCTCAGAAAAAAACTGTCAAAAAAGGAAAGAAAATTATCGATCACTACCTCATCAAGACTGGACCGGAAAACGTGGTGCGAAGATGTCATTCTGGATATCAAGCCAGAGTCAGGACTAGAAAAATGTGAAACGAAAGATAATTACTAGCAAAAAGGCAACTTTTTAGCTTCCCGTTTAACTAAAAAGAAAAAAAATGTTCACAGACGAAACCATCAATCGAGATAAGAGATTACGCTGAGGACAATCGGATTTGCAAGTTTACTCTTGCAAACACTGACTCCTGTGAGACTCACATAGCAAGAAGAAAAACAGGATGTTATCGACGGCGCCAGTCTCAGCATACTTCCTATAATGCCTAGAGCCTTATTTTATTCTGAAGAAGAAAAAAACTCGCTGAAAGGAGCTACAAAGACTTAACTTGACCACATTAGCGTCGCCACGGGGGGGCAAGCGGGGCAGCTTGCCCCCCCAACCTCGGACCGGGCACCCCCTGAGATCGATACAGATCCGATGAGATTTTGGAGTCGGGGAAAAAATGGGGGTACCTTTCTGAGAATGCCTGTGAGGTCAGACTCTGTTGGAGCGTGCAGTTCAAACCAAAGTCAGAGTCGCAGTCACCAAAATCTTCAAGACTCCGACTCCAGACTCGGAAATGTCAATGCCATGATTCATGTCATGTTCCTAGTTGGTTCTGTATTACATTTTGTAGCTGATTTTCATAAATTTTGGAGTGCTGACACATAATTTTCGTTCAAAGCGTGACACGAAATCTTCGGGGCCTTTCTCAACTCTCGTCAAATGTCTGCGACAGGCACAAGTACCGTTCAAGTGCCGCAGGGCTCATGAGCCTGCTTTTCACACAGGCTCCTAAGGAGCTCCACTAAGCTCTAAGAAGCTTTCGGAGGGCCCAAACCGGCCTCTGAGAGTCCCACTGGTGTCCATGTTCTCTAGAGGGCCCATACAGGGATCTTTGAGGACATTATACATACATACGTAGACCTCTGAAGGGCCACACGAATCTTTGAGGATGTCTTCGAAAATTTCTGAAAACCTCAACTGGCCTATGATAGTTCAGCCGAACTTTTGAGGCGACAGACTTTACTAAACCCCAACCCGGCATCTGAGGGGTCACAACTCACGTGTCCCTCTGAGGGCCGCAACACATGTTTCTTATGTCCCTACCAACGTAGTGTCCTTAAGGATTCGACACAGACCCCGGCGGTTCACACTGTTATTCGAGGGCTCCAGGCTCACCCTGGGCCTAGTCTCTTAGCGCCCGCCGCCCACACTGGCTTTTGAAAGCTCGTGTGCCCTAAAGGGCTTTCCGGGCCCACCTTAGGCTCGGAAAGCCCTAAAGCACCACATACACGTAAATATTTGGGGTGACCCACGCCGATCTCCGGGATCCTAAGCAGGCTTCTGAGAGTCCACACTGACCCTCAGTGGCCTGAAATGGCCTGGAAGTCGCAATCCTATCTCTAAGAGATCCCTTGCCCCTATGCCGTGCGTAACTTTTGGTTCCGTTAAATATTTTTGGTCGCGTTTGCAGCGCTTCCCTTCACTCGAAAAACCAGAAACTTTTTGTTCACACTCGAGTGAACAAAACATTTCTTCTCACTGCAGCAAGGATGAATGATGTACTTCCGATTCACACTTCCGACATTCTCTCTCAGTCTCCGCCGAATGCCCAATTCTTAGCTACAATCGGCGGCTGGGATAAGCCCTATGCATTTCACGTAAAACCTGGGCATTCATGCGTGAATGGAGGTTTTAGCGAGGTGATCCGATTCAAATGGAGCGTTTTTCACCTTCTTCTGGGTAATGATCATGAGCGACAAGAGTCTGCACAGGGGCCCTCTGCAGTGCGTCGGCAATCGCAGCCACTGTAATTCTAACGGTCGTTTTTGTCCAGAAATTTCAAAATTTTGATTTTTTTGTAAAAAAAATACATGCTATAGCTAGAAGGAAAACTTTGTCACCATCGGATTCCTCGCACCATTGCGCGTCGAATGATATGTAAAACGAGTGAGTAACGGCTGGGGAAAGGCAAGATTTAACACAAAACTTGATTTTGCCCCCCCAACCGAAAATGTCTGGCGACGCCTATGCTTGACCAGCAGTTAATGTGAAAAGAACAACTCGGCATCGCAGTTCGCAGCTACGCCGCGCTAAATAATGTCATACCCATGGCAGTGATACACCACTACATCCAAAAGAAGTAAGCGTATTCAATCAAACAATAAGGTTTATCCAGTGTGTCGTATGGGGATGTAGTTCATTACGGTCGGGATCAAATAATCTCGGAAGAATGCTCGATGAAATGATGGAATTTGTACCCTTTGCATCAATGTTAAACGATGAAGGCTGCCGCTCGTTACCGCAAAACTTGCATCGGGAAGCTCAAGAATACGCGAGTCTGCCTGCGAAGTACGGACGAAAAAATAACGGTGGAGCAGAAACAAGATGCATAGGACCGATTTGAGTATAAGAACTGGGACAAACATCTGTGCCAGTGATGGCCTATTATTACAGGAACTTTTACTTTGGATATCTCAGGAAACTGGCAGGTCAACGTTTCTAGGCCAGCTGTGGACATATTTTGATGGAGAAGCCAGGAAACGGAGGAAACGTGCCAAGGGCGAAGAGCATACTGTAACTAACGAGCTACAGAGAATATGACGAAGGCGCCGGGGGCACTAATCGTTTGGCCGGACGGGGAAGAGCACTCGATCCGCGCCCCGGCAGCCGGCAGGTTACCTGTACTCCAGCTTCCGAGCTGAGATGGTCGCCCTCCGAGCTGCTGTCTCCTAACTGCTGGAGAACCCGCCGCACGCCGAAGACACCATCGTAACCTGTACCGACTCGCAGTCCGCTCTCGCCGCCACCCGAGGTGGATAGGCCGCCCAGCACTCCTCGCTCGGAGTGGACATCTGGAGAGCCCTCTGGGGACTGACAGCTGGAGGCCTGTTGGTCTACCTACAGTGGGTGCCCTCACAATGCAAGTTAGAGGGCAACGAGAGGGCCGACACCATCGCCAAGAAGGCAAACAGCCTCGACTAAAAAATCCTCATACAGACGTCCAGAACGCCCACTGGGCCGCCGCCAGAGTGGCGAGGGCTCGCACCATCCGGGCCTGGCCGGCCGGCTGGTTCCTTCAGCTGACGGGGCCGGGATCGACTCCCACCTGCCGTTGCCGGCGGCGACCGGCCAGCGGCGGTGGGCATCCACCAGCTCCGCGCTGGCCACTGGACGAGCTCCACCCAATGGCACCACAGAGTCGGTGTGGCGCCCTCCTGGTTGCGCCAGCCCTCCTGACTGGCGCAACCAGTGCGACGACCGACAATGCAGAGCCGCACTCTACCCGTCTGCTGAGAGGAGGCGGACAGCCCAAGAATGTCCTCCTGCGGTGCCCGGCTCTAATGGGCACCCGACATCGCCTGCTGGGGACCATCAACCCCAACATGGAGGAGGTGCAGAGCGGCGACAGCGTGGTGGCCCTGGGGGCCGCCCACAGGTCCCTTCAGAGCTGCTCGGCTACGTCTCCATGAGACGGAGGGACACAATAAAAGCAACAACAGCTACAGCATTACAACGTGATGGGAACGGCCGTCACAAGAGCTATCGCCTTATCATTCAGCAGCGAGTGGAGAATGAGCAGACGGAGGGATACGTTGCAATCGGTGATGTGCATGTGCGAATGTGTGAAAGTGCGACTATGTGTAGATGCGTGGTGCATAAAATTGGATAGCAGAGAAGAACAGTGAAGACGCCGTTGAAGGTTTCATATTACGGCTTCAGAAATTTGGGCCTCCAATGCTGATTTCCCAAATCAGCGCACAGTCCATATATAGAGAAGTCTGTGGATCAGTTAATGCTAAAAATAGGTTGAGGTACACTGCAAGCAGAAATAGCAAAACCTAGTCTAAACCTTGGTTTAAGCTGACCTAACCTTGCGTACATGTAGGTACCTTGACCCAGCCTTGACCTACCCTTGGTTTATATAGCCTTGGTACCTACCATAACATATGACCTTACCCCATGTCAGTGTGGTTCAATGCAACTTATTAAATTTTATGTAAAAGTATTTTTAGTATGGATGTGTGGTCTCAACTTTTCAGCATTGGAGGGTTATGCGCTTTCTTTTCCGTTTTTTTTTTTTAAATGTATATTCAAGTGTTATTGGGTTTGCATTTTTTCAGGACAGCTAGGTATATTCTCAGCTTTATGAACATTTCTCAACCTGAATCTTTTCTTTCAGGCTGTACTTTCCGCATTGTAGATCATGAGCGTGGCCTTCAGTGGAGATGACTCTGCCATCATTAATGAAAAACTGGATGTGGGACTGGTGGAATCCACTCCAGAAGCTGAACTGGAAGGGAAATATGACCTGCAGGGGTGCTCTTCCTGGCTAAAGGAACATAATTACAGAATAGTGAGTTTATCAAGTGCATGAAATAAAACCACTTTTACAAGTAGCTCTGCATACCAATCGGGTGGATAAACAATGCTGTTAATATGCAAAATATCTGACGTCACATCTTAATCTGTATGTATTCTCACTTTCTTGGACTAATGCAATGTCTTGTCAGTTTTTTCTCAAATGGACTCTTGACATCTCTTTTATGTACTAGTCTGACAATTACTTTTTCCAGGCCGCTCTTCAGTTTCCAGACAATCTTTTGGCAGATGCCACACCAATAGCCCTTTATCTGCAGGATAATACAGAATGCCAGATATATATTCTTGCAGACACGTCCTATGGCAGGTGGGAAATTTCATCATTGCGGTGGGAAGCTGTTGGCAGGAATGCACTCTAGTTTGAAAATATGATAACAGGTAGTCTTACTGGGAGCTGTTTTAGCATCTGGCATGCTTTTTACAGCAACAGTGGTGTGTTTGTTTGGATAAAAAAATGGAGCATATAACAGCTGTGATGCAGTGGAGACTGGAGAGTCGGGGGCCATTCATTGGTCCAATGGCACCATGCAGCATTCAGGTTCATCACCGGGTCCTGGACTGTTCCGCCCCTCCATCATGACTGGATGAACCCACGTGACAAGCTCTCCCACCACCAGCTGCTGCGTGGACGAGGTGGCCGCCGATCACGTGACCGCCGACTGTGTCATTCACTTCGGCCACGCCTGCCTGAGCGCCACCTCACGGCTACCGGTGTACTACGTGTTCGTCGACCTGCCGCTAGATGTCAGCAGTGCAGCGGACGTGCTGTGTCCCGCCCTGCCGGCGGACGGCACAGTGGTGGTTTTCGTGGACGTACGCTACCAGCACGCCCTCGGTGAGTGCCGTGCAGGGCGTCCAGCACCCTGGGGTGCACGTCTGTACGGTGCGGCAGCGCGGGCAACGACAAGCGCTTCCAGATATATGACGCTCTGATATATCTGGCGTTTTTACATTGGCCTGCGGTTTATGACTTCAAAATGTGTGCGTGTTATGCCCATTTTCGGTCAGTAAGTTTGCTGTCATTCAGAAACACAGCCGTTCAGCCGATCACTCGGTCGGTGGTCTGCGCCGCTGTAGGTATCTGGTCTGTTTGACGCTGTGTGCTCTGTGTTTTCAGCGGCGCTGTGTAGGGAGCTGTCCCTCCGTCTGGGGTCGCCGGTGGTAGCCGCCGAGCCGCCGCCGTCGGACCCGGCCTCCGCCGCTGACCTGACCGGCGGCGGAGAGGGCGCCACAGAGACGGTGCTGCTGAACCGGCGGGTCGCACTGTCCGAGCCGGCGCTGCAGGCGGCCACGGTCGTGTACGTGGGCGGCGAGGGCCGGCTGCTGACCTGCCTGGCCATGGCGCTGGGCGACACGCCACTGCTGGTCTGGGACCCGAGCGGCGGCCGGCCGCCGGCGCCGCCCGGCCCGGAGGCCAGCCGCGCAGTCCGCCGGCGCTACTACATGGTCGAGCGCACCAAGGATGCGGCACGCGTCGGCGTCCTGGTGGGTACCCTGGCCGTACACCGGTACCGAGAGGCCATCGAGCGGCTCAAACAGCTGCTGCGCGCCGCCGGAAAACGCTGCTACACCCTGCTTTGCGGCAAACTGAACGTGGCCAAGCTGGCCAACTTCCCCGAGCTGGACGTGCTCGTGCTGGTCTCGTGCCCGGAGAGCGCGCTGCTCGACAGCAAGGAGTTCCTGCAGCCGGTGGTGACGCCGTACGAGGCCGAGCTGGCCTGTAACCCGGCGCGCCAGTGGAGCGGCCGCTACGTGGCCGAGTTCGGCCGGCTGCTGCCCGGCGGCGCCGCGCACGTGCCGCTGCCTGAGGTCGGAGACGTGGTGACGGACGTCTCGCTGGTGACTGGCCGGCTCCGCAGCTGCGGGCTGGAGGCGGCCGGGACACCGGAGAGCGGCGCAGACTCCAGCCTGGTGGCCAGGGATAATCTGTCTGTGGCGGTCCACGGCGGCGGCGCCGGGCAGGCGCTCTCGGAGCGCAGCTGGCGCGGCCTGGAGCAGCGGCTCGGGGACACACCGGTCACGGCAGCGGTACAAGGTCAGCGCGGGGTGGCCGCCGGCTACGACCAGGAGGGGACGGCGGTCGAAGACTCCGGGAGCAAGCCGGACTCGGCGACCGCCAACTCCGAGAGCAAGGACTCGGCGCCCACCAATTCCGAAAGCATCTCTTAACCAATGAGGAGTCCTAGGTCACAGGCTTACGGGTGTTACGGGATTCAGGGTGAATGATGAGTATTTTGAAACGCTTTTTGATACCAATATATATTTGTGATGTAGCATCCCATGTGACAGCGTGCATCTAGTTTTGACAGGTTTATTCTGATATACAAAACGCTCACTAGAACTGAACATCAGCGCGGCAAAGCGTTACGATACGATACGATACGTGAGCTCCGGTTCTGCGGTATGCCGGCGCGACAGCACGCGGCCCCTCTCGGTAGGCATACGACGGGCGGTGGCCATCCAGCGTATTGCTCTGTGTAGAAAAACACGGAACAAATAGTGCATGGACGCGTTTCGATTATTAAATCTTCATCAGCATGACATAATCACAGAGAAAACAAGATATGTGATTATGTCATGCTGATGAAGATTTAATAATCGAAACGCGTCCATGCACTATTTGTTCCGTGTTTTTCTACTTGTCTCTATCAATATGCTCTGTGTAGGTTGTCGTACGGTCGCTGAGCACGGTTTGGCCCGGGACTATTGGTCAGACTTGTGCGACAGGCCAGAACACGCCCGGTGTCGGTCCACAGCTATCCCACCACGCGGCCAGTGCCAAACACACACTACTCGCCTTTGGCAAGCCCAGAGTTACAACAGCTGGGAGGAAGTTAGGAACGACTGCGGAGACTGTTTGCGCGTTGGTCCAATCAGAATACTCGGCCATGCCAGTGCATTCAACCCCCCGAACGCGGCGCGGATTATGAGACCACAACATACCTGGGCAAAGGGAACGAAATCGTGCAAACTTGATCACACAATAAGGAAAGCAAAATGACGTCATTTTGTGTCGCTTCTTACGGTGTACAGAGCTGGGTAAACAAAATGGTATTAAATAATAGTACCACCGACATTCAGCGGTCGCTCGTGCGTAGAAACGTCTCAAAACGCCGCGGGAAGAGCCTGTCTCGGAGTCTCTCTATGGAGCTGGTCCGAGCCATCGTCAGAAGAGGCGGCGGCGGCGGCGGCACAAGCCACCAACAATACAACAATGCCCCAGCAGAGATGCCCGTTAGACTGCCCAGCGCGCCGCGACCCCTGCTCACAGACAGATCATGCCAGGCCCAGTCGATTCGCCTCGCTCGGCTGCGTCACAGAGGGTCAGCACACACGCAACACACACGCACACGCGAGCGCTCGACGTCAAGGCGTCACCCATTCTCTCCATGTAGAGCTTACACTGCTGTCGTCCATGTGTCAGCGGTGGTAGCGGTCGCCGCCAGGGTCTCCGCATCAAATCAGAACAGCTGACACAACCGGGCGCCGCTCCACTCCCTCGCTCTGACTGTGAACGGGTCAACACGCAACAAGGGCCAAGAGAACGGCCAGCTACCGGGAAGCACGCTGCGCTCGAATCCCCTACCGAAGCAGACCGATCGCGCTGCTATACCGAGTGTCGAGTCTCTCGGTAACACGCTCCATTGACGGAGTGTCGCGGGGTCCGCCAGACCTCTCCACTTCCCGTTCCTCCACTACGCCGGGCGGTCGGCTCGGTCCGTCGGCGCCCCTCGCCGCCAGGCGGCTCCCGGGGCGGTGCCAGCGGACCGTTAAAGCGCCCGCCAGCACTCTGGTAACTCTCGCGGCACCCATCTCACACACCGATAGGCTCAGGCTCACTACAGCACACGCTAACACCCACTCGGACGCACAGTTCACGCGGCGGACGGCGCGCCAAAGTTTCGACGCAACCTCAGATATGTCCGTCACTCACTCCGACCTGAACTCGCGCGCGTTCTGACACTCAGGCTCCCGCGATAGCAGCTGATCGGAGATTCCGCCCGCCCCGCGCGGAGGCGGGTCGTCCGCAAAGAGGTGCGGCGCGGACGGCCAGACGGCAGCGCGGCCGGGCGCGGAAAGACTTTCGGCTGGCCGGCCTCTCGTTAGTGGTTAGTTAGTCCGGATATGCGTCGCGGAGACAGGGGCCCGCCGGCCGACTAGCACTGAGTATTGGTGGCGCCGCGCGCTCCCTCTGCCCTGCCGGCCCACCGAGGGGCGGGGCGCCGGCAGACGGGCAGACAGAGCGCACACGAAGTCACGCGAGGCTCCACCGCCCTGAAAACGCGCCGGCCGGCCGTCGGCGACGGGCGGCCTCGTCAGTCCCGGCCGTCCGCTGAGAGACGGAGACAGCCTGATCGGCCGCCTCCTGTGCGTGGAAGAGACCCCGCCGACCGCCGCAACTCGGCGAGGGGAGGTAGCCGGGAGACAGCTGAAGGAAGCGCCCAGTGCCCGCCGCGGCTCAGCAGAGGTGGCCGGGTCGGCGGTACGGCCGCGGCGGCGCGGGGCGCGGGGGGCGCGGTGGATGAGGCGGCTACATGACGACACACTTGCGCTGGTGCCTCCGGAGCGGCTCCGGTCGCAGGACGGCCCGCACCGCCTCGTCAAACACCTGGCCGGACACGGACAGCGAGCGTCAGCTCACCGCGTCAGGTCAAAGGGCGGAGGGCAAGGGTTTTCGCCGTCACGAAGATGCAGGGCGAGGGTCGGTAAATGGAACTGCATGGGGTTTTACTCATCCTTTCACAAGCCTACTGTACCCCAATCCCAGATGATTATTGACTAAATTAACGCACAGCTTTAACTCATGCCATCCTGATGATCACAAAACCATACCAGAAAAAGTTATAAGACTTGCAATTAACTACATATAGTGGGCCGTTTCAGGAATTGGCAATATGACAAGCGGTTAATCGCACGTTGCACTGAGCTAACACATGACGTCAGAATTCTACGGCCACACTCCACATTGTGCAGTGTGCACGGGAAAGTTGGCGGAATGTCGGGTAATTGTTTTCTCAGTACACAACAAACCACCACTCAGGGTGTCTCTGCCGAGCCTGTGCCGGAACGGCGACGAACGATGCGACTTTACGGCGGAATATGACATCACCCCGAGGTACTCATAATAGACACGAGACATGTCATGAATCACAAATGTCAGGACATTAGCAGTTTCACGTCTAAACCCGTGCCCCCGAACACCCAAATATTTACAAACAGCCCACTGACCTCTATCACACTCAAATCTAGCCACCGCCGAGAAAAGCTACACTGCTCGACATGTAGAACATTCTTGTGTCCACTAACCACTATGAATGTACTCGCCACTGCACCGCAACAGCCACAATCTCTCTGCCTTTTGCACCCACTCACCTGTTTGAGCCCTCGCTGCGTCAATGCCGAGCACTCCATGTATTTGACGGCGCGAATCTTATTGGCCAGCTTCTGTCCGTGCTCGCGTTTCACGGGCGACATGCCCGTCTCTGAGAGCTGCTGCAGTGTCTCCTTGTCTTCGCGCAGATCCGTCTTGGTGCCTGCGGACGTGGAGGAGGGGTTAGTTATAACATAAGACGCACGGTCAGTTGGGGGAGGGGAGGACTACACAAATAAACGATAAAGACGACGCCTGTCAGACGACCGAATGTACTTTTATGGTCTGATGCGCGACGAACACGAGCAAAAAATGTAAACAATGACCTACGAGGTGACGTAAAACAAAAACGCTAGTGACAATAACATTCTCAGCACGTCACGACCTCCAGTATTCACGGTGTCATGAGTCAGATCACTGTTTTGCAGCGTGGCTAACTGGACCAACTCGTTTCACACTGTTGTTCCAGGATATGCAGCGTTAAATTCCATCATGCAAACCGGCTGGCCGGGACGGCGGCGGCACCCGCCCATGTCCCTGAATCAGCTGCAGCCGTCTGCAGCCTAACCCGCTACCTCCGTCTAGGGAGAACATCTGCCAAACAAACTCAGCCCGCTCCCGAGCTGGGAACATCAAACAAACACGGAACACCGTACCGTCATTGGGAACCGCCCCCGGGGGTGAGAACTGACCGACAAGCAGGACGGGCGCCTCGGGGCAGTGGTGCTTGATCTCGGGACACCACTTGATGGTGACGTTGTCGAACGAGGCCGGACTCACCACCGAGAAGCAGATCAGGAAGACGTCCGTCTGCAATCGGTGATCACAGTCAGGGGGAGGGAAATAAATCGTACAGTCCACAGGTCACAGTCAGAGGCAGGGAACAAACAGCCAGCGGTCACCGTCAGACTAGTGAAAGGGGAAAACAACATTTCCACTGGCGGGCTGGCCACTTCCTGGTCACGACCTTACAAAGTTAGCATGGTGTCATATGAGCACAGAGGCAGGGGCCAGCTGTGAGCTGCTGTGTGCACCACCGCCCATACTGCCAATGTGACAAGATGTTACGTACGTACATTTATTTTCGGAGCGCGATGCACGCAACTAACAATACCGGAAATCAATGCTGGATCAATGCAATTGAAGCAAGTTTAAAACAGCGTTTCAGCTGTACTATCTCAGTAGCAGACAGGTAAATTCAGTAGCAATCAGAGGGCCGGCCAATTATATGCTGTCCGACCGTTTAAATTACACATGTCCGGCCCATTTACAGCGCGCTACAATATGCGGTCTGTCGGTCTGAGGCACGGTCGGTGGTGTCCCCGGTCGGCATTATCACCTGAGGGTAGGAGAGCGGCCGGAGCCGGTCGTAGTCCTCCTGGCCGGCCGTGTCCCACAGGCCCAGGCTGACCGGGATGCCGTCACAGACCATCGGCGCCGAGTAGTTGTCGAAGCTGCCGAAAGGGCGGCGCCACCGTCAGCGGTGACTCACGGCCCCGGCGCCGACCACACGCCGGGCGGGGTGGGGGACATGGGAGGGGAGGGGAGGGACCCACGCTGCGAACCCGCGCCTGCACCGGACTGCTGTCTGAGTCAGAGGGGGTCGCCGACGGCGGCACGGCCGCCAGCGACGGCACCTCGCCGGCGGCGACGGTAACAACGGAAGTAACGACGCAACATCCGTGCGTGCTCGTGCATAAAAACCTAACACCGGTTTGATACCTGACGCTAAATGAATGAACAGCAGCGCGATATTACCCACTCCCTACCACTCTGGAGCCAGAGATCGCGTGTTTCGTTGACCCCGCCCTGCGTCGCCCCGCCTCCATACGTACACGGTGGGCACATATTCTCCGGGGAAGCTGTCGGTGGTGTAGGAGATCAGCATGCACGTCTTTCCGACGGTGCCGTCCCCGACCACGACACACTTGATGGGCCGACCCGACGACATGGCGGTCCGTCACTCCGTCCGGCGCCGCGCTGTGGACACAGCAGGGGACATGTGGGGTCACTGTGGACAGTCGTGGGGTCACTGTGGACACAGCGGGGACACGTGGGGTCACTGTGGGCACGTGAGGTCGCTGTGGGCACACCCGTGTCACTGTGGACACAGCGGGGACACGTCACTGACAGTGAGTCCACACCACTCACCATCAGCCGCACATCACAGTCTACTGGGCTATATTACTGGTCATCAGACAAATCAGTGACCATCAGCCCACATCACTGACTGGATACCACCATACACTGTCACTCATCAGCCAATATCATTCACCACCAGCACACATTACTAGCAGCCAACAAGCATCAATTGACTGCCATCCTACTGTATATCTGACCACCAATGCATACTGACCACCATGACTGCACATCACTGGCCATCATAACATGCCAGAGCTGCAGGTGTAGCACACAGAAAGGAAGAGCATACTGCTGCTAGGCTAGGCACCCACTCTTTTACTACAATGTGCTCCACCAAACAAATTAAACCATTTATGGTAAATCTGCTGACAGAGACCAATAACAGGCTAAGAGGGAGTATATATCATCAATAACCAAATGAAAACTAAGCTCAGGGGTTGAAATTTGAAGAATCAATGCAGAAGCTTGAAGTGAAGTAGCTAGATACTCTGTTTTCTAAGAGGTCTAATAAATTGCCATTTGTGAATTGTACTGTAATTTGTCATTTCAGCTTAAATAATAAATACAATGAAACATCATAGAATAGGTAAGAGAAGCTTGATTGAGCATGTATGTAACAGTAGCACAGTGTTCACACAAAACATTAATAATGCATCTTCAATTAGGGTGCAATAATTCTGAATCACAACAAATTGGACCACAAATGGTTCATAACAAATGGGACTGTCATAAAACACACAACAAATACATTTAAAAACAGATTAATTGACAAGATGCAAAGAGGAAAGACTACCATAGGTATTCAAAAGCAAAGGAATGAACTGGACTTAAACACATCAATTTTTCAATGCCAATTTTAAGCCTCATCTATCAGAAAATAGTTACTATTTTTTCATCAATAGAAGACAAAAGGCTGCTGGTTGGACTTTGGTTATCAATACAATTCACTGAAATTACAAAAAAGTATGTGATGGCTGAGTTAGCTAACCAGCAGAATGAGACCAATGGCCATGCCCAAAGTTATTTCATTAAACTAAAAAAACAAAAACAGATGTGATGTTCTGGCTTAGCATCATACTTAATGCTATATGAATGATTAAAAGTGAATGTCATGCTACCAAATCCTTGCTACACACTTAGACAATACTGACTAATAAGCAGTGAAGTGAGAAACAGCTATTTAATCTCCAACAATAATAATTGTTATATAAGGGCTGATGATCATAATACATCCAGCCAGAGCAATATCCAGTTCTTACTTTACAGTAAGGTGGAAATTTTAAATATAACACAATGCATTTATCACAAACTATTTTTGTGATTTCATTACTATAGCAATGCAATCACCAATGAGAAACATCAAATAATCTGACATAAAAAGTTAATGTGACATCTTATCTCAATCACCAATGACAAGTAATGTAATATATTACTTCCTTTTATTCAATAAAAACATTAAATTAAGTTTGATCCATAGGTAGGTAGGCATAAAAGACTTGGCAGGCCTGACTGCAAAGCATGGCAATCTTGATTCTTGACAAGATCTCCTCAGTGCAGGCTGCAAGGGCACTTAGCTGGTGCACAGTGCATGTTAATTGAGTGCACTGTGCTAAGCTACTGTGCTGGCACAGCATTGTCTGAAAAATGATACACAGGGACACCACAGGGCTGGCCAGAGAAAAATTGACCTTTCACCCCAGTTTCATCTGATCATAAGTGTAGACTTACAACTTCTGCAGCAAAAATTCTAGCTTCATTTCGGTGCAGAATGGAGTACAGGTTTGCAGCCTGGTTGGTCTGGGCTGGTGTTGATTCACATTTCACTACCTTAGCTAGTGTGTCTCGTCAAAACCATGCTTTGCGGACCATTCAGCAGGTTGAGGGTAGGCAATAAATCAAGTGCTCAGAAAATCTTCTAATGTAACGAATCCATGCCTCTAAATACAAGTTAAAAATAATACTTTTATCGTTTTAACTTAAAGAAATTTACTGTGAAAATGAAAGCATTATCATCACCTAGGTACCTACCTTTGCTAGACAGTGATCGTCCTTACAATGCCAATTTCCTAGTTATTAGTATTCCTTGTTGATACTCTATGAACTGTCCGTGGAATACCAAACAAATACGATATGATATGAAAACCATCCACAGTATACCTACAATCTTATACCCACTTGAATTATTTCAATTTAATTCGTATTCCAATAAAATATCTGGAAAGGGTTGTACCAAGGTTGTGCCAAAAGCCTCTAGTCACGGGTTTTCCCAATATTCAGTGAGAGCTCAAATGACGTAATAGAATTAATCTCTGTTAAAAATGTGTACTGTTTCTCAGCAGTTTTTGATTTTTCAAGTGTCAATTTTCTTTCATCTGGTGTTTTATACAGTCTAGGTTTGTTTTAAAGGTGAAAACCCTCTTTTTTTTGTCAAAACAGAAAGATCAAGTCAAGTTAGATTATACTAATGATGTCATAGCAACGAATCGGCAGAAACAACCTCAGCACCTAGCGGCTTTGTCTTCATAACAAAAACAACTGAAGAGAAGTGACGCACACCGTTTTCGCATTTATTCTTTCTTTCCATTCTTTAAAATAGTATTTACCGGTTTTGGAAAAATAAATCTTAAGTTAAAAATGCATTTTTTTTTTGATTTTTTAGACCAGAATTATATACAAATATTTTAAAATGTGATAGTCTAATTGAGACGAGGCAGTGATGGCGCACTCGTTACTTTTGTAGCGGAAAACCTTCATGCCCTCTTTCTTTTTTGGTGTATGGTCGAAGCATAATTTTATTATTTTTATGTGGTGCTGTATAATTTGCATAATGTGGTGCGGTACTTCTTTCTGTTGTATGATATTTATGCGCTTTATTTTCTGTTTGCTGCGCAAGCGTTTTATTGTACTGTATCTCAAAGTCAAGGCAATTTATCTGGAAATGCTGGATCTGGAACATGTAGCATTTATTATGACCTTCATGTAACCTTGATTATATTTGAGCTGCGTATTTACAAATTGCAACCGAGCTCCGCCGTAGGGTATTTTATTTCCGCCGTAGTGTATTTCACTTGGGGGATTTTCTACCATACATCTGCCTGAGCTTAGGGTAATTACAATTTGTCGGCGACGTTAAAAAATGATGCACTTTTTTCGCAGTATAGGATATCGCATGTGCATATTTCTGCCTTTTTGGGTGCGCTTTATCGTTTTTTCGTGAGTAACTCGCGTAAAAACCGTCCGATCGCGACGAAAATTTCAATGCCCCCGATTTTATCAATTTTACACCTACCCTGACAATTTCATGACCCTGACCTAAATGACCTTTGACCTGTGACCTATTTCTCGAGACCATGTTTGGCCCGAATCGCGATACGGCGTATGTCGGATCGCACTAGCCGCGCGGTTGCAGTCTTCACGTGGTTTCAAGCGTTGAAACATGTGATATGATGCTGGTCCCATGCATTAGGGTGGGTGTCAAGGTCACCTGAAGGTCAGGTCAGCTCAATGACCTTTGATGACCTCGGTTCCTTTTTCGAGTTTTACATGTTTCTAGGCTAGTTTTTGGAGCTGATTTCGAATTTAGCAACAATTTGAACATTACAGGGGGTGTAACGAAATTATCCGGACACCTTTCTTCCCGCTGTAATTAAAAAGCAAAACAATCTGGTACTTTTTCTTTTAACTGAGCTTGTGGCCACCTTTCATAAAAACGCAGTGGTGAATGTTCTGGAGCATTTCAGCCAATGAATTCTACAGCACACTGGCTTTGATGCGGACCAACGCCGTCTAAACCTGTGCCTGCGGTTGAGCAGTGCTTATGGCGGGTGGCTCTTCATACACCTCCTGCTGAACAAGAGCCCACAGGTTTTCGATTGAATTGGGATCGCGACTTTTTCCAAGTCATAAGCGTTAGCCCAGAATGATTGAAGGTTCTATCGGCATCACTTCCCGTTCTTTTAGGGACTTTTAACCCTCGCACGACCAGGCCATTTCTCATAACACGAACGACCAGGGGGGGGGGGGTTGTTACGCCCCCCCTGGCGTTTCAAAACGGAAGGTCGTAGAGCTTAGCGGAAAAAACCAACGGATTGCTCTCAACGAGATCTCGCGATTGGTGGTATATTTTTTGGTCCTAGGTCAACATTTGACCTACTTATGACCGGTCAAAGGTCAAATTTTCGGAAAAATCTAACTTTTTCAGATTTCCGCGCCGATTGCGGCAAAACGGTAAGAAATATCGACTTGAAACCTTCACTAACGTGATCCTTGATCAATTCTCTATCGTTTGGTGTGTATTTCGATGTCATAACTTGATAAAATGATGCGTTGGGAGCATCGGAAGTCTGCAAGGTCATTTGTCCATTGGGTCACGTCAGGCGTGTGACGTCACTGACCTGACCCTGACCCAAAATGAACTACAAGAAACAACCGACGATGCCTGAAATGGATAGCAAATTCGAATTCAGGGCATCAAAATACCCCGAAATGGCATACAAGTGCAAGAAGTCATTACAGGTCAACCGAGGTCAATGACCTTACCTTGACCTTTAGTGACCTTCAAAATGTCAACGGACATTGTGCCAATGTCAAATCAGCCAGTTGTGATTCTATAAAACAATCCATCAGTGCGTTAGGTCAGTCGGCATTTATACCAATGTTAAGCAATCTCCAATTTAGCGTAAATCTGGCCGGAGGTTGTTCCCTTTATGACGTCATAACTCCGTGACCTGACATGACCTTGACAAAAAAATTACCAAAAGTTGCGCAAAGGATGCCCCAAAGGGTACTGAAAATTTGAGCAGGCTATCTGAAACGGTTCGGCGTGTAGCTAAGAAAAACCTCGGGGGGGGGGGGGGTTGATACAACCCCCCCCCCCCAGGTGTTCTAGGGTTAAGTAGCGCGCCGCCCCGCATGAAGACAGCGTGGCTTGAATCAGGCATCAGTGCGCGTTCAGAAATCGTGCCCTCCTATGCCGTCTGGTTGAGCGCCTCCAATCATGCTCCACCTCCTTTCCTGGAAAAGCTCCACCCTTGCCTATGGGGCAAAATATCAGGGACAAAAACACAAAACAAGACAGATAAAAACAAAGCAAAATTAACTCATTACCTAATGAAATTCAGGCTGGAGCAAAAACATAGGGAATAGGTATCTATGTCAAATTAGAATGAAAGATTAAAATCAACCTGACCAGGCCTTACGGTCTGACCTGGTTCTAACCACCTTACTTCGCCTAACTTAACTTAATTCAACCTAGCCTACCACAACACTGCAGAGGTACCTTCCCGGAAAAATGACGCCCAGGGAGGTGACTGTCCAACTTATTGGAATACTACCATGATTGCTTGTCAAAATGTGTGTCGTCATGCTATTGTTTGACAAGTGATGTATAATAAATGTGATATTAAATAATTATCTCCTGACTGTTGACTGTTGAGTGGTCAAAATATTCAAATAATCAGGGTACAATGCTGTGCATAGTGCACACTAATCATGTTGTTTTTGTGTAGGCCCTCTGCACATTGTTGTGTGCACTGCTATGTGCACAAAAAGTGACTGGTGCACAAAAAGTGACTGGTGGTACATGACAAAACAAAAGGTTGTGCAACTGTGAAGTGCATGCCCTTGGTCAAGCTGGTGCCAAATGCCTATAGCTATAGCAGGATCAGTGAGGGTTGTAGACATGCTACATACATTGTGCAATGTGCATTGAAGATATTGGCACAAAGTTCATCCGTAATTACTATGCTTAACACCTAATGTAGGAAGCGACATAAATGCCCAGATGATGAAACTCTCTGGTCAACATCACACAAATTTATTGACATACTTTGCAGGTACATATTTACATTCATGGCAAATACTTTCGATTTGATTCAGAAACTAGTTGCTAGTAAGCTTGCATTTTTGTAGGTACAACAACGACCATATATTAAATAATAAAAAACCTTCTCATGGCATTCATCACATACCTTTTTACCGAACAAGTACCTAGCTACCATACAATGATTCTAAAAAAAAAAAAAATCCGCAATCCATCTATATCTTAACTGACACAATGAATTTGAAATATCCTAACAAAACCTATAACTGTACATAAGAAGAATGCAATACTACAAGAACCATGAATTTCTGAAGTTTTTCTCACATGCTGGAATGTTGAAACTCTACTTTTGTCGTCCATTTCCACGTTTGATTGAGCCATCATATCGCCAACTGTTTACGTTCTTCAGTCACAAGCTTTCGCACAAATCTTGAATTTTTACGCATCATCTTGAACCATGCTCCAGTCTTTCCAACAAGGTAAAGGTAACATTGAAGCAATTTTGATTTGTTATAACAGCTTCAGATCATGATAGGCTTGAGGTTTGTAATTGTTACACCATTTGCCAGACAAATCTCTACAAAATGTGTATCAATTCCCAAACTAAGTCATTGATCATATCAGTATTATGTTTATATAAAGAAACTCGAATAATCCACAAATTGTTATTGAAACACTCCCACTTCAAGAATTCACAGCAAATAAGAGCACAAGTACAGAAGCAAACAAGCATTGCGCCAGATTTCGTATGAAACGCGCCATCGTCCTGAAGTTTCTACCACAGACGGTAGTTCAACCGCAGCCGTAGTGTGAAAACCCCTGCCCACCTTACCCCACGGCGGAGCTCGGTTGCAATTTGTAAATACGCATTTGAGCTTGAGGGTGCTTCGGCTTTGTTCTTTTTGGTATATTTTATAGCATTTCTGCCACCCATTCTCGCCAGATAATGATCTACCCCTTTCATAACATGGGTAAAATGCTGAGCTGGGGTGGTTGCTCAGTAGGTAGCATAGTAAAGTTCAAGACAGACTGTTAAAGTCTAAGTGACCTCTGCAGTGTTAAACGGCTTTGGTTATTGGGCCAGCTTTAGCTAACAGCTGGCTTGAGAGGACCTTGATTCACCCAGAACTTAACACTTCTGGGCCAGAAGTGTTTTTGATGATGTCTTCAGACAATTTGAATAACATTTAGGCAAAGGCTTCAAATCGTTAATCATGCCTGTGAATCTGGAGCATCAAGCAGGCAAGGGAAGGCAGTGTTACATGGCTCTTATCACATTGCATTGTGTTGGGTGGTTGGGTGCCAGACTGGAAATAACACACGTTATGCCGAATATGTCCGGCTTAGTGGCAGGATTGCGCCAAAAATTTCGGCGCACGTCCGACGTAACTTCGCATGCACCAAATTCAGCGCATGGCGGCGGACGAATTTTTCGGCGCAGGGCGGTCGCATAACTTTTTTGCCGAAAGATGGTCACCGAATTTATGTGGCACACTGGTCAATCTAGCAGCAGATTCGCCCCGCGGGCGGCTCTGGAGAGGTTTCGGGACGAGACCTCCCCGCCCCGGTTGTCACGTGCTCGAACTGGTGAGCCGCTCGAACTCAGCGGAGAAGCGGCTGCCCAGGTGAGGCCTCAATCCTCGGCGTGGAGATAGGCATGGAAGACCTTGTTGAACATCGCCAAGCATTGTTATGCAATACTGCAGTGGGTTCCTGCCCACTGCGGTATCGAGCGGAATGAGAGTGCGGACGACCTGGCAAAACAGGCGGCCGCCCTGCCCTCAAACGCCGACTCGCTGACCAGGGCGGTTCACTGTGCGGCCTCGCATCAATGGCGCGACAACTGCTCAGAATCACTATTCGAGCCACTCCTCGGGAGCACGTCGCCGCTCCCTATCCCCGGAGCGGACCGAGAGGATGCCGTTTCGGTGCACCAGATGAGGGCGGGCCACTGGGGCCGCTCGCTCCAATACGGCACCGAATCGGCTGTCTCCACTCCGTGGCATGCCAGCAGTGCCCAGACAAGCGGTGCCCCGCGGGCCGCGGCGCTCTGCGCTGTGTGCCGAGAAGAGGGTGATGTGCCGGAGCACATGCTGCTCCGCTGCCCGGCCCTCGCTGACTCCCGCCAGCCTCGAACACACTGCTCCGCCGATATTAACATCGGCACAAATTTGTGGCCCCGGAATTCACGGCTCCAGCTTTGTTTCACGGCATGAAGCTAGAGTGCGCTAAGACTATTGAGGTATTGGGTTTCTGTGGAAATGAAAAACTCATTCGGACGCTCAAACATGGGAGAGCGTACAAGGCCCCAGAACACTCTGTCTGGTTCATATAGCCTTCATTGGTAGATGTGCACATGTGCTTTATATACAAAGGGCTTGATTTTCGCACCAATAGGCATCTTATTTTTGGCGCAAATCACACAGAAATTTCAGCGCAAAATCGCTTGCGCCGAATTTCGGCGCAAGAGGGTCTCACGGGCGTCCGCCAGTGTATGGATGTTTTCCAGTCTGGGTTGGGTGCTGTGTCCCTGGTGTGTTACAGAACAGGTGTACCAGATATAAGATTACAAGGTGGAGTGCATACTGCGGGAAGTAGTAACATGGTGTTTGCATGTTACATACCTGCTATGAGTCTGTTTCCATGTTTCAGATTTTAAAGTGCTGAAATGGCAGCAAAGAAGCAAGAAACAAGTATACCAAACTATGTAAAATTCATATTTGGTGGCTCAGCTGGGTGAGTAAATGTACTTTGTTGTTTGTCTAGGCACAGTACACCTGAACTGTAATTTATGAAGTAAAGTTTTTTTGGGAAGCATCAGGTTTTGCAGGGATGTAACAAGCTGAAGGGTTACAGGGTTTGTAGCTATGTGTTTGTGAAAGGGCAGAACATCATTCTTGTTTAAAGACACTCATGAAGGCCGCCCAAAAGCTGCTGTTTTCCACCTGTCAATTCTGGTGTGTCGATTCTGACCCCTCCTCTGTGCGCAGAATGGCGGCCACCATGTTCGTCCAGCCGCTGGACCTGCTCAAGAACAGGATGCAGATGAGCGGCATGGGCGGCGCGGCGCGAGAGCACAAGACCAGCTTCCACTTTGCGCGCGCCATCGTGATGAAGGAGGGCGTGCGTGGCATGTACTCGGGTCTGTCGGCCGGTCTGCTGCGCCAGGCCACCTACACCACCACGCGGCTCGGCATCTACACCGAGCTCTTCGAGCGCGCCAGCAAGTGAGTGGGCCGATCCGCTCATACTCGCACGGGATGGACTCTTACCGCCCGAGTGACGTAAACGCAGCCGGAATCGGGACTTTCCGCTATTGACGACGATTTCGGTCCACTGCTTTAAATTTGGAAAACATAGGTGTATATTTAGGTATAGATTATTAAGTGAACATTTCATGGTAGTAAAACGGAAAGTTTGCGTCTTTCCAACTTTCTTTCCTGTCTTCTCATTCGGCGCATGGTCGAAAATAACACCCGCTGTCACCAAGAGGTGCGGGCCGGTTACCGGCTGATGTAAGCTGGCAGCGTGTCAAATGGCCTTCGGGTGGTCGGAAGGCGGCGGAGCGGGCGGAAAATGACACCGTTCTCACTCACTACGCGAGACTCAGCACATCGCTCACCGTGCTGACTGAATGTGGGAGTAGATAACTCAACTCTGGTGCATACAGGGCACGCTACATTTAGCGCGTGCTTCTCTGTTTGTACGGGTCGTCTTTTACGTATACCGTCGTAAAATGGAGTTAACTAATAATAGGGTCTTAATTCTGAACCCTATATAGGTGTCGCCATGCCACTGTTCTCTTATTTGCTGGTGATTTATGCTTTATCGCGACAGCCCACTAGTTTCGTGGCTGTTTCTCCCGGCCATTGAATCGATCAGTGTCGATGACGGATGCTCAAGTACACACCTGGGACGTCCCTGTAACTGCTTCGATTACACACAGCTGCCCCCGTATTAGCGTAGTGTGAGTGGCACCAGGTGTGTGGTACCGGTAAATGTCGGTCATGCGGACTGACAGACCGATCTCTCCGGCATTTATCATCCGCGGACTAAAAGGTCTTATTGAATAAGGCCTTGTTTCTTCGATTGTTGTTTTGTTGGGTTAGTCTCTTTCGGTCTTTTAGGATAAGCCCTCGAGTAAAACCATCGGCTATCAGCTATTCAAGACCTGTTTTTCCTGTACGTTTACCTCCTATCTATGTACCAACTACCAACCGATGTCTCTCACATGGGTACCTGTCAGTAGAATATCCAAGACAGTTCAAGTTAGGATAAATGATAACAATAACACGTCAAACGTATATTTAAACTCACAAAGCTTTCGGTATGAAAATACCTTGATCATTGTGTTAACAGAAATGAGGACCTGTCCTCATTTCTGTTAACACAATGATCAAGGTATTTTCATACCGAAAGCTTTGTGTGTTTAAATATACGTTTGACGTGTTATTGTTATCATTTATCGTACCTGTCAGTCTTCCTGCCCGACCACCCTACTGTTGTTTCTATTTACTCCATGCCACCCTGGTTTGCTGACACCCGCCCTTCCATCGGCCGGCAGGGACGGGAAGCCGCCCCCTTTCTTCACCAAAGCCGCCATCGCTATGGTGGCCGGCCTGGTCGGCTCGTTCATCGGAACCCCGGCTGAGGTAGGTGGCGCCACCGGGCCTCTGGCTGCTTGCCCGAGCGATACAGCTCGGGCAAATCGGCATTTAACGATTTCATGCCAGAAATGATCTTCCTTCAAACGTATTGCTAAAGCTGTACATCGACGCATGCGTTTTAAACTGGTTTACTTTCATTATCATTATCATTCATCGTTATTTTTATAGGCATTTGCGTCTGGCTCGTCTGTTTATTTGCCTCTCTATCATCAGCAGCACAGCTTCGGTATTCCTCGTTTTGAGCTGACTTGAACGTCCTACATTGTCTCAGTCCCCCTCTAAGTGACTCTCTAAACGCCTTTCATTCTGAGCCCATCTGTACGCCATATCGCAGCTCTCCATTCCCATCTTCAGCCCGTCTCTGACCCCGCTCTCCTCCTTCAGCTGTGTCTGATCCGGATGACCTCCGACGGCCGGCTGCCCGAGGCCGAGCGCAGGAACTACAAGCACGCGTTCGACGCTCTGTTCCGCGTGGCACGCGAGGAGGGTGTGACTGCGCTGTGGCGCGGAGCCGTGCCCACCATGGGCCGCGCCGTGGTGGTCAACGCCGCCCAGCTGGTCTCCTACTCGCAGGCCAAACAGTCGCTCATGAGCACAGGTGAGAGACTAGGGAGCTGTTCTCACCGGCCAAACAGTCGCTCATGAGCACAGGTGAGGGAGCAGCTCTCACAGGCTGAACAGGAGCACTGCTTGCAGGCCAAACAGTCGCTCATGAGCACAGGTGAGGGAGCAGCTCTCACAGGCCAAACAGTCGTTGATCAGGACATGTGAGTCCGAGAGAGCACTGACTACTCAGAGGCCAAATAGAAGTACTGCTCGTAGGCCAAACTGTCGCTGATAAGCACAGGTAATACTGAGAGAGTACTGACAGCAGAGTGCAGGCCAATCAGTCACCGATGAGCACATGTGAGACTGTATAACTGTCCACAGGTTAAACAGCATCCCATGGGCACAGGTGATACTGGGGTAGGCTGCCCCATGACCGATGTTTTTCGATGCCACAGGCCAAATATGAGCGCTACGGCTCATTTTCTGAATAGTATCTGAGCATCAGCACAAACGCAAGTTAAAGGATCCCCCCAAAAGTCTATCACTATTGCTATATTAGTTTACATGTTTTTTGCACAAACACTGCCAGCTGCTCTGTACCGCCATCTCTGACAACCGTCTATGCCTCCGCAGGTTACTTCAGCGACAACATCTTCTTGCACTTCTGCAGTTCGATGATCTCCGGTCTGGTGACTACGGCTGCCTCAATGCCGGTGGATATTGCCAAAACCAGGTGAGTGCGCCCGCCCTCCGCGGCGCGAGGGGAAACTTTGTGAGGAGGAGGGTGCAGGCCGGCCGCAGCCTTTGGGCGTGGGGAGGCCGGCGGGTGCAGACCTCGGAACGCCCTGCGCCTCACGTGGGTGCTGGGCTTTCGGGCTGTGAATTGTTATCGTTTAAATATTGTAGATAACGACAGTTGCACAGGCGGGGAGCTGCTTTGACCAAGCTTTAGCGGATGGGAAAATGGGAACTACGAAGTGCAGACGTCAGAGGTCTTGAAGGAAGGCCATTCGTGAAATAATTTGCGGTCCCTCAGCCGTCACTGATCTTGGTATATGACATGGCTTACGTTCCTGGCCGCTCAGTGTTCCAAAATTATATTTCGGCTTGGGTGTCGGAGGGGAATATTCGTCACTATAAAGAGGGTTGAGAGTGGAAAAATGCCAGTCAGAAATGCAAAAAAAAAAGAGCGGAACATGCAGGGATCAACAATGTTTTTGTGAATGTTGAAGGATGTGGGAGCTGCTTTATAAGATAGTTGAATCGAAAATGGAGCGAGGTAAAAGGTACCCGCAGATGCTCTTTATTGGTAAAATAGGGAGTGAAAAATTGCTCTGGAAAGTTGGAGGTGAGAGTGGAAAATTATTTTGATTTGGATGTCATTTCCCACCCAAACTGGCAAACTTTGGGACACTGTCAGGCCGCTTCATTCTTTTTTTATGAAATAACCCTGAAATCTCGTAGCTTACGCATACAAATCTCATAAGCATCTATTATATGGCTCATACCATTGTATTACAAATTACGCTGACGTCCTTTCTGTCTTAAATTTTCTACATCTGTCTTAAAATCTCCAAGGTCTAACCATTGTCGTAGAAAATGGGCAGGTACATATTCACACGTTGTTTACGTTCATGTTTTTACGCGTCAGCAGCCATTTTAAAGAACTGCATTAATTCTTCTTTCTCGATGTCGTAGGTATGAATAAAGCAGCTGGCGTAAAATAATCAACTCGACAATCATCCCATGCAATGTTACCGCCTTGTGTCACTGAGTTTTTTTTTTAAGACACGAAGCTGGCTCTGCAGAAACCATCTGTGGAGATGCAATCGCGAAACATACGTGTCCACTGTCCGGGGCCACTTGTGCATTTTCATTCCTCGGATTATAATTTTAGGCATCGTTCGTACTTTCAGATAACACATACGCGAATTATGACGTTGGTTTCAAAGTGAGCAAGTTTGCAGTCACCATCAGATATAATCGGCCAAACCACTTGGTACCGCTATACAGCCTCGCGGTGGCTCCCCGCTCCCTCGCAGTGATCTCCGCTCCGCTGTCACCGCTGTGACGTCACGGCCCCGCTGCCAGCCGCTCTGGCACGGCCCCAGGGCCACGCCGCCGGCCTCGGGCGACAGTCGGGGCCGCTTACATGAGCGAACAGAGACGTAACCGACTCCTCGTTACATAAGGGATGGGAATTGATGGTGCTATGGGCCGATGACGTGCTTTGGAGCTCCGCTATTCCACTGAAATTCGCAGATCATCAATGCCATTGTTAAGCCTTAACTGGATAATTTTAATGGGCTCAATCCGAACGTCCTCGCATTCAGTGAGTGGGAGTCGAGATCTCTGCATACCTGTTATGTAATTACATGCGAATACAGAATAGACGGATGTGTCATAGATTGTCAAGATAGATTATGGAAGGATAAAGGGAATTGTACAATACTTTTTATCCTCTGGTACGCCAACATCCGTCTGTAATGACTAATGCAGAATGTACTCAAAATGCCATGCGAGTGCATTTTGGTCAGCATTTAAGTGAGCTCGCTTGCGTGTGCGTTGGGGATATGTGAGGATATAACGTCTCTCGACTTTGCATTTGCTCAAAATATGCTTGGTCAGAATGAACATACATATCATTTTCGACACATATATAATTAAAACTTTTGGCCACGAGTTACATAGGCGTTATAATATTACGAATACCTGTAGACATCTTTTCTTTCTTAGTCTATTGATAACGAGGAGTAGTTTTGGCGTTTCACCGAATTACTAAGTTTTACGTTCATTTTCATCAAAATTGTGGTTTCAATTATAGTATTTACAGATTCCGCAAGTCTGATAGTAGCCCGAATCCGTCGGGTTGATGTTTGCTGCAAACTTTTTCCCGGCATATTATCTCAAACGAGTTTTTATGTGGTCGACCTTGAGCCGAACCGTAGTGAGACTCTGCTGGCTGAAACCACGAGAGGATGGAGTGGCCTTGGACGGGGGATTTCATTGAAGAGGCCCTCGTTTGGGATCTTTAGTTTTAACTGATTTATCATCGTGTTGAAATTGTGGAAGCCCTGTGCTTCGATTGGGTGTCAATTCCAGTCAAATAGCTTTTGTGATAATATAGAAGCTTGACTGACCTGTGCTAATCACGGTCGGGAGAGCCTTGTGCGCTTTCAGGGAGGCACAAAAAGACCGCGCCCGTAAACCCCAATGAACGAACGAAAAAAAGACGATTTATCCTCGGTTTCGAAAACTAATCACCGCCGTTCAGTACCGTCTGTCGTCACCGCGATGTTTTTTATGTCCTCTCTAGAGTCCAGTCTCCTCCGTAAAAAAATTCGTCTCGCCAGATGCCGATGTTTTGGTGGAGTGCGTCTAGCGACGCCGGTTACCTCATCCGTCCGCTCCTGGGGCGCCTAGTTCCATTGTATATTGCCTAGTTCTGCTGCGACTACATATTGGCTCATTACGAACCGGGATGGTGACGTCACAGAAGGTATCGCACCGTAGGCTGGATACTCTGTCGGGATACATCGGCTGGTGACGTCTCCAAATCGCATCAGCTGTTTGCGAGTCGCAATTATGAGTGAAAAATCAATCATTGCGCTTGGAAATTGATCCGAAACAATTACTCCGATCAATGATGGACTCTGGGATGGAAATTCGTTGAAATCGAATCAAACCATGGGCATTCCGACTAATTTTGGAAAGTTTGGTGTTTGTTAAAAAGTTTGTTGATGTTTGTAGCATGTGGCTATGGGTCTCATAATCTTGCTACAAGTGTCACTATTTTATGTGTATCGTCCAACGCATACCAGATGCTTTTCCTAGCTTTACAGCAGGATTACAATGCCTATGACAATTAAAACAGCTCAAGATGTAAATTATGATATTTAAGAACGAATTTGCTGGTATTCTTTCAAAAGATTCAGATAGTTTCAATTTTTTTACGGTCTACCTACCACTGCATATAAGACAAACAACATTTTCAAAATTTGTGGGAATGCCCTTGTAAACATGGAAATTCATCTTTGAAAGATCATGAATCGGAAATCATCTCCATCGAAAAGTAGTAAATGGTATCCGGTTTGACCTGCGTTCAGCCGACTGACCGCCTGTGACGCCTCCGCTGACAGGATTCAGAACATGAAGGTGGTGAACGGCGTGCCAGAGTACAGGGGCGGCCTGGACGTGCTCGCCAAGGTGGTACGCAACGAGGGTGTGTTCGCGCTGTGGAAGGGCTTCACGCCCTACTACGCGCGCATCGGGCCGCACACCGTGCTCACTTTCATCTTCCTGGAGCAGATGAACAAGGCCTACAAGAAGTTCGTCCTGCACGACACCTCCTCGGGCGGCGGCGGGCTCTAGCGGACAGACGGGGTGATAGCAGTGGATGTATCTGCCTATAGATGTCGCGTCGGTCGCGGTGGCGTTGGCCAGTCTTCCGAACGGCGCAGCGGCTGGATGCGGCTCTCAGGCTTCTGTCGGTGCTATTGTACTTGGTGCATGTTTTCAGTGGGGACTGCTAGGAAACTTGTTGACCGATCGTGAGATCGGCTTAAGGATAATTACCAATGATGATTTTCAATAGGCAGTGTGTATTGGCACGAATGGTTTGTATGTATGTGGTGCGCAACTTTTCGCGTGTATCTGACCCACATGCATTGCCTAATTTTGGCATACCTATTTTACCGAACCCATTAGAGACCACTCTGTGCGCCTGCTGAGTATTTTCGGGTCCCATCTCGTCGAGCGAGCCGCGCTGGTGCGCCGCTACCCCGCCTCTCTGCTGCACCGTCACGGGTCACGTCACGGCCGCCAGCGGGTGTGACGGGGGCACCGTGTCACGGCCACCGTCACGGGGCCGTGCCGACCCAGCCGGTCGGAGAAAACACGCACAGTCCGCGACTCGCGGCGAATACACGTGTTCCGAGGCAGGGTGTCAAACCGCGGGGAGAGAGCAGGGGCGAGGGTAGAGGCGAGACTGAGAGAGATGAAGAGTCCGTGCGATGTGCTGGTGCAATACACTACTCTCCAGGTTTATGGAGAAAGAGCAACTGCGGGGTGTCAATAACACTGTTCGGTCTTCGACTGAAGCATAAGGTAAATTGGCCATTGTGATACCCTTGTAACTTAGCTGGATACTAAAGCTGGGACTGAGGCGGTGACATTTTCTTTCCACAGAATCCCTAAGGCAGAAGTTTTTGACAACCTTATCAAAGTGATGTTTGTAACTCGCGTAACTGAACACACGAGCAAAATTATTAATATAATTATATACAAGGCCGCATTGAGGCGCAAGGCTGCTTGCTGCCACGGAACTTGCGTTCCTGGGAGAAAGCAACGACGGTGTCGAATGGATTGAGTAAGTTGGACCAACACGCGTGATATTTGTAAGCCAGCGTCAGCTACACAAGAGTCTTCCACCGCCAGTACGGCATGGCCCCACTTACCCGTGTCAGGCCCGAGTCGTAAGCCTGGCGTAGGTAAGTCTCCTCCCGCTATGTAAATTGACTATGGGACTACACTCGGCTCATCTCCGTATGGGATACCTACTGGATTTTTTTTTAGAGACAAAGACGTTTATTCGAGTTCTGCGAGGTCGTTTCGTCGTCTAGGGTCCATCCCCGCGACCCAAGGCTCGGGAAGTTTGGTAGGGATGTGCTCTCAATCTCCTCTAAACTTCTCTACTTCGCTCCGTCTCCTTCGCTTTCTCTCTTTTTTACTCTATCTTCGACATAACTATCGAACTGAAATTCCAGTCAAGGGCGTTAGTTTCTTTCGTTGTCGGTTCTATTTTCGTCCAAAATAAGGTATTTTTCAGGCGCTGTTATCAAAGCAAAACTTCCATTTTGAGACATAAGTATTTAAAGGGACCCTCCTACCTTCAAAAAAGTTAATGAATTGGCATGAAAGTGATGTCGCTCGGTTCAGAAAGAGCAAAAATGAATATCTACCAAATTTCATCGAAAAATATTCACCGGTTTTCAAGATATTAGACTTTTACTTTTGTTTACTTTTTGGGATCTCCGCTGTTCCTAGCGACTTTATTTGAAAGTGCGGCATTTGTTGCGCGCAAAGCAGCATATACCACCGCGCGCTGCCAAACGTTTTAGTAAAAGATTTAAAAATTGTTAGATCTCCGCTGACGTCACAAATTCTAAGGGGGCATAGGATGCATTAGCCCCTTAGAATCCGAAAACTGCAAGTTTGAAATTCCATATCTCCGAATTAAAGCATTTTTCGATGTTGTGAATGCCCAAACCGGTATTTTCAGGCCATGGCCACCAATTTGGCTATCTCAACTCAAAACTAATGTTAAGGTGGGAGGGTCCCTTTAACCTTGAGGTTTAGTTGGTAAGGGTGACGGGTCAGGCGGGGTAGCACAGAACAAGTGTTTGGGAGAGCCAAGGATGGGGATGATCCGAGGATGGTCATTTACAAGCGCTTTATGAAGAGGACGACCCGAGCCGAGACGGCTCAGGGGCCGGGCCCAACCATACCGGTCTGAGATGACGCGTGGTAATACAGGGGGAGAGAGGCTACCAGAAATTAGGACTGAGAGGCCAGTGGTTGATACTCAGTGCTAGTCGGAAATTGGGCGGGATATTTGAATGCACTCTGAATTAGTACCAGGGATTCTCCCGAAGACGAGGAACAGGGGACCGGTTGAGGTAACTCGGTGTGGGTCGCTGAAGGACATTGCTTTAAACAATAGCTAATGGCGCCATTACTTTATTGGTAGGTAGGTAGGTAGGTAGGTAGGTGTTTGTTGTTTGGAAAAGTGCTGACTGTCAGTTTGTGACAGATAATTGGGTTTGCGTCATTCGCTTCGAAGTTGGATAATACTGATTTAATGAGTTTTGATGAAAAGAAGGAAAAACCCCGACAATATTTAAATCTGTCTTGCAAGAATATTTTATCAATATGCTTTATTACGTGCAGTTGTCTAGATAAGAGATCCTCGGTAAAGGTTACATATCCGGGTACGGGGTAAGTACTGTTGTTATCTAATGCATCCTGCTCCGCACCTTAGCTCCCCCGTCATTCAGCATCCTGCTAGTGGGAAGTGGTGGATTTATGGACGCCTGAATTAACGACGCAATATGTGATGGACGGGTACCATATCCTCCTGTTCATGATAATCGATTCTCAATGATCCCATTTTTTCGATGCTTCTTTTATCGCGACTCCCTTTGGAAACAATGTTGAATTGAATATAGTAGCCCCAATATGTGTCCGATGAATGAGGTAAAAAAACGTTCAGCTGACATTTTCTCAGCCTGTTACAGAGCAGGTTACATAATTCAGTCAGTTACGATACCTGCTGGCTAGTTTCACACGGGCGTAACTTTCTCTAGCTCATGCTTAGACGGCTGTATCCGATCTTCTTCCATGGGACTCGGATAGAAGTCTGGATAGGTATCTCTGTTGACAAAGAATATCCTTGTTGACAAGGATATGGAACAAAGCATCTTTTCACAAAACGAGAATTGGAGCAGCAATCTACTGTGAAAAGTGGAATTAGCAAGAAAACATTTTGAAAGCAAGAAGCTTTGTGGTCAACATTGCTCATAAAAATCAGGACGAGCTGGCTCCTTATTTCTGCCACATTGCTCTCTGCCGTCTGGCAGCCGGCGTTTCCCCCGTGTCTTGTTTTGACAGCGCTCTCGGTGGACATCTGAGGGGGCCGTTCCAGTCAGAGGTCGCCGTCAAGGTCGCCACGCACTCGGGGCTGTGTGCACAAATACTCTGAATCCGCTCTGCAGCGGCGACTGTAAACAAACCGTCCGTACGCCGGCGGACGGTAAAACACCGGGCAGTGGAGGTGCGCACTGCGCAGCCAAACAGGCTGGGATTGAAATGCAGCGGCGCGCCCGACCCGACGCCGCAGACAGTGACGTATGGGCGGAATACGTGGTAGCGCGTGGGGCGAGGCCCAGAGAACGTGGTGAACGACACGGCTCTTTGGGAATAGGGCTCCTTAGGCCGGGTGGATGGGTATTCACAGCTGGTAGTGACACTTTCACGGACTACCGGACACTTTGTCTTTACCTATCCATGGGACTTGGAACTAAGGCTGGTCTGGCTTCCTTTGGGCTACTAGAGATGGGCTACCCACGGGACTGGAGCTGATCTTCTCCGAGGGTTGTTCTCAGAACGGAATTGTGACTGCTCAAACCACTGTAGTTTACATATCCACGGAAATGGAATGAAAACCTTACGGATTACTGGAGACTGCAGGCACCCACTGAATCAGGTTTGCACTCTCTTGGGTCCTGGACCACGATATTCGAGAACCCACGCACCCGCTTACGAATGGCCTGACAGTTTATGTCACACTTAACAACCACTAAAATTGGACTTAACCTTCGGTTGCCGTTGGCAACTACTCGAATATTCACAAGTCAGCATGCCGTTCCACACTATTCACGTATGTGCCTTGTGATTGGTCGAGGCTGACCTCCCGTGACGTCACAGGCTCATGCAGATGATGTAGATGACTATCCACAGGTCAGGTCTTTGATGCTTATCATATCCAGACCCATTTTAGAAACCTAGATTTCTTTTTATGACAGACTGACAGACGTCGTCGTAAAATGGACATTGGACAGATTTGACCTTTTTTGCCTTTATGTGACGTCATAGGCAAAGAATAAAGGTCAATTAACCATATTTTGTGCATCTCGATAAGATCCTTCGAATGCTGTTTGAATTTTTATGATCCGATCATTGGTCCCGGAGATGCGACGGGGTGGCGTCCCCCCCCCCCCCCTAGCAGAGCCTGGAGACTTCCAGACACCAACGGAGCGCGGTTTAATAATATCTGTCCTAGTTTTAGTAATGTTTTGCTGGATACCGGGGTTGTCCCGGTATGTTGCTGCGCGGCGGCGGCAGCACTCAGGGAGCACACCCACGGCCTGTGTATCTATCTAAATCTGCCACCAAAGCTCCTGTGTCGAAACTCGCGTAACCACTTCATTTTCACAGGCGACTTATAGTGCTATTTAGGCTACTGCGTAGTTTTTTCACAGCTCCTCAAAATATCGCGGAACAGGTGTCGCCTTGTGGTGCTAGCCCCGTGTCTGCCATCGCAGTCTCCCCACTCGTGGTGTTAGTGCCCTGTGGTACACTGCAGTTTCCAGGCGCTAAGTCTGCTATTACATAAGTTGTTGCAGTCCCTGGCCTGAACTACATAAAACCGATTTCTACAGGCGCTCGATGCGGCATGGAACCTTTTGGATCAAGGCAGCTGGTGTCGTGTGTGTCCGTCTTACACTTCTCCGTATTGAGTTCATAGGCCCACCGGTTATTATTTGGGTTACAATGACGTGTAACAGATGGATCAGATTGGATCAGATTAAGGCGGCCGTGACGCATCGCATTGAGGTAAAAAGAGCTGCTTAACTAGGTATGAAGCAAGCCGCTTTGCAGGGAACAGCTCACCTCCCCCCATTTACACGTACAGCCCTCTGCAAACTGCGTGGTAGGTATTCTTTTTTCGACAAAAATGAGAATAACGCGAATACTCTGCTGTCGGTCATTCGGAAATCGTAACAGCAAGACACGCTAGACCCCACCCCTTAGACTGGCATCATCACCGTATTCATTTTTCATCTAGTTCGGCAACTAAACCCAAAAGTTTATATTTGCCCCCAAAACAAACTTTGGCATTTTGTTGCCACACAAGGCGTATATTTTGTTTATTGATAGACCTAATCAAAGGAGTGGAGCATGGCGCATCTATTTGCAGTGAGTTCCGACCGACTGATAACATAGCCTTTGAGTTATTATCGGTTTTGTCGAAAAAAGAATACCTACCACGCAGTCTGCAGAGGGCTGTACCTACATTCATCAGTGTGAAAAAAGAAGAATATAACATTCAAAATTTCTGAAGAAGAGCTACATAATTGAATCTTTTTAAGCCTATCTTTTTGGATTGTCTGGAAGAAAGGATTTCATAAATAATATGAATCTGGATTAAAAATCATGCATCATTTTGAATTAGCCATCAATGTCCATTATAAGTTTTCTCTTACCTTTGTTAACCCCGCCA